TGTCTTACACAGAAGCATCTAGATCAGTGGTTTCTTATGTCTTACACAGAAGCATCTAGATCAGTGGTTTCTTATGTCTTAAACAGAAGCATAACAAAATGTAACTAAATAGGTGTCACTTGCGTGGAAAGATAGCAATGCCGACGCCTGCTGATACACATGAGAAGCCAGCGGACGACAAAGAGGCTGAACCAAACGAAGAACATCCTTAATTTAGTCTTGGACGTCGGGTAAAAACCCTGGATGTTGGTTCATTGTATGTGACATGGTTCAGGTGAAGTCTGCGGTTGAAGGAGACCGCGCAACCATGGGCTCTGTCTCTGAGATGATGGACTGTGGGAGGGGCGGACAGATTTTCAATCTGCGGACAGATCACTGCGTTCAACTTGGTTTGATTTGAATCATGGGTGTCTGAGTGAGAATAATTTTCACCAGATATTGATGCACGCCTGGTCTCCAGACTCATTGGGCCGAAAGGTGGGCCGCTCTAGCTTCGTGATCGCAAGCTGTGGAAGAAATGTTGCCTTGCTGTGCATGACCTGGCAGACTTTCAGGTCAGAATCTCTCTAGCATGATGGATCAGAGTGGAGCCTACTTAGCCGTTCGAGCACCTAGTAGACCTACCATTTCAGCCACACAGAGTACTGTCAGCTGTTTTCAGATCTTTCAATTGCAAGGTGAAGGAAGTATCTCCAGGTGTCAACAAGGCAAGAGTTTTGGAGCTTTGAGAGTTTTTGATTGTATCCCAGATTATATTTACATATACGGATCAGGAGCTCATGGTTTTTTGTTGTGCGAGAGACCATTGAATGATTGCTCCGGGTTGAGTGTTGCATTTCAGATCCCCCACGATGGACCAGTCGCAGGTGGTGATCACTGGATTCCCTGACTGTGTGGCAAAAGGCCGCGAGCTGGTAGTGCCGCCCCTAGCAGGTGAAGCGCAATACATTATGTATCTAGATATACACGTTTCAGTTTTTTATACACGTTTCAGTTTCTGGGGTTTGGTTGCGCGATGCTACGCGACTGCGCAACTTCTGCCTTTTCAGAAGTATCGAAAAGGCGAGAAGCCATTGGCGCTTTCCCCCAAGGTCAAACGAATGCCTGTTGTTCAACGCGCGCAATATGCACACATTGCAGCGGAAGCAAAGTAGCGCGCAACGCTGGTCCTGGTGCGATGTGCACATTTCCCCCAAAGCACACTGTTTGCCGTGTTTCCTGATTCGCTTTGCATTTGCTGATTTTGTTGCTTTGCATTTCCTCTTCACAGGATGACAGAGGGAGAGAGGTCTATGTGTATAGACAAAGAGAGCGCACGTTTTGTCCATGTCAATTTATCCAAAAAGGCATGTGCAAAACGCTTACCAAAAACATAATCAAAAAGAAAAGCAAATAGAAAAGGGAAAGAACAGATGGCACGGCTTTTTGTTACCTTTCCTTACGTGTTTTACGCTTTTTGAAAGCCCCTTTTTAAACACCACTCAGAGGACCACACAGAGACAGACACTTTTCTTTACATGTCCTTAATTTTTCCGTTTTTTCAACTTTTCATCTCCACTCCACAGGACCACGCAGACAGAGATAGAGATGTAGAGAGAGAGAGAGAGCTTTGTCTATGTTCCTTTTGTTTTTTGCGCCTTTTTTTGGCATATGAGCGCTTCTTCTAAGACGATCAAAGCTCAAGCAATATTGAAAAGCAAAGATTCCATATCAAAAATAGACTGCTGTTGGCACAAAGAAGAAACTTTGACTCTTTGAGTCAATCCGTGCAAGGAGACTGGCAGACAGCAGTCTTGAAACCTCAGGAGCGACTGCGAACTCTTCACAACCCCAAATTTGCAAAGCACATCCGGAAACTTTTTTCTGCAGGAGGTCGACGAGCGAGTGGCCACCATCAAAGCGCACCGGTGAAAAAGCGGCTGCACAGAGTTTGCAACTCCTTAATTGCTCATTCTTGTGTTAACGGATAATTTTTTTCAGTAGGTGAAGCTTCGTTCCCTCCCTTCTCAGGTTGTCGGGCTTGTAACTAGCAACTTTTGTCGAGACTTTGCATTCGTTTTTTGTCGAGCATGAATTGTTTTCTTGTCGAGCTCTTTTTCGGCCAACCTGGTCGAGTTTAAAACACACCCTCGTGCCCTGCCGGCCCTGCCCATCCCTGAAAATCTAAGGATCGGACATGCAGAATGATGGACCTGTCATCATATGTCACAAAAAAACAGAGTCGGCACAGGGCATCGGCCATCAAGGGACTCCTTGAGCGTTTTGGGAATTGCTTGGATTGCTTTGATCTTTGCATCGCCACTGGTCGCCTGTGGCCCTGGCCGCCCCTCCTTGCCCCACCAGAAGTCCTTCATAGCTTGGTCAAGCCCTTGGCATCGAGCTCCTCAGGGGATCTGAGGATATCTGAGGGAAATTTGTCATGGTGGCACATACGATGTGGCGTGTCCTGAGCTGTGCGAGTGATAAGGGACAGTTGCCTTATTTTTGTACCTTGGAGGGGTTTTGTGGCACTTTTGTGGGTGTTGTGCGCATACTGTAGACAAGAGCACCACATTATATAATCCAGACACGCCTGCTGATTGCCATGTCAATTTCAATGTTTGGATTGCGACCCCTGCTTCGAAGAAGCAAGTGCCGAAGTGGGCACCGAAGATCAGCTAAACCCAGCTATATGGATGCAATAGAAGTGAAAAGGACATCATTTGGCTAGACGGCTAGATGTCAGTCCAAGTGCAATAGCAATAACAAGCTTTCAAGACAAGCCATTGCAGATTGAAACGAAATAGAACTGTTACAGCTTGTTGTATCTCGTACACATGTGCACTCAAGACGGCTCTTACCGCCAGCTGGTTGGCTTCCAGGTGTTGTTGCAGTTCAGATGCAGAATAGAGTGTTTCCGCTGCTTGTTGTGATTCTTTTCACTGAATTGGCGCGATTTGCTTGCTCCTTCACCTCGCTTGCCCGTGGTCATTCTACGCATCTACGTTACAAGGGTTTCGGGTCAGCAAGGTCTGCCTGCTCACAAGCATTGGAAAAGCCGAGCTCGACTGCAGACATGGCGAAGCTAGACCGAACTTTGCAGCAAATGCAAAAAATCACTATTACTTTGAAACAAGAAGCTACTGCATCGCTTCTAGTAACAAGTGCCTTACCAGTAGCAACAAGAAGTTTATATATAGACCGAACTAGTAGTATGTCAAGTTGGCAATTAACTTGTGTAGGGTTGGGCCCGTGCGTCCAAGGAACAAAGGCCTGCAGTGCACTGCTGGCACTGTATGGCTTGTTACCGGCTGCATGCTAATGGCTCGGGGCGGTCGCTACTTGTGGCAAGCCCTGCAGAGCAGTGACTCAAGTGGCAGGTAGGAGCCGCGTTTTTGGGAACAAATGCTTCACCAGATTCTCGAGTTCTGTTGGAACTTAGGTGAACCCATTTTCTCCAGTTTCCCACAAATAGCCCGATGTTGTGAGCAACTTATGTATGGAGAGCGTGCGTCATCGTTTGGGCATGCTGCTTGACCAGGGCTGTGTCTCTTGCAGTTGTTCTGTGTCTTTGTGGTGGCTTGGCCAAAGGCCGCTTTGTGCTGGCGAAGGCTGCGCTACGCAACAGGCGTCGCATAGCAGCCCTCTCCAAGCCCAAGCCCTGGCAGATCTTCTCGCCTCGCCCCTCGATGTGTGTGTGTGTGAGCGGAAGATGCACACGATGAGCCGGCTCACAAGCTAGGATTTGTTGGACATGTTGGCTTTTGAAAGCATGGAACATCCAGTGAATCCAGTGTTGTGTTGAAAGTTGGTAGGTCGCGTCCAACAGCGTGGATGTTCATGTCTTCCCAATGCTCCAAAAACCCAGGTTTCTACCCTCTCATCATGGTGATGATGGGTATGAGCATAGGGCTTCGGAAGCTCTTCAACACAGGCTTTGCAGGTGGCATGGTGACTTATGGAGGTATCGTCACTGGAATTGGCAGCGGCCTTTTCGTCAGTGCTTTTGCATATTGGTTTGAGGGGTGGTTTGGAAGCCTTGCTGAAAAGCAGGGTCCACAGGATGACCCTGGCCCCTAGAAAAGGGATTTCTTGGCACTTGTTACTACTAGCTTCTTGTTACTACTAGTAAGGCACCTGTTACTACTAGTAAGGCACTTGTTTCTAATAGCTTCTTGTTACTACTAGCTTCTTGTTGGCCCCGAAAAGTGATTTCTTGGCACGGATCCATCAGCCGCGTTCCATTCTGTACAAAGAGAGGCCGATGCAGCCGATTTTGACATTATGATCGTTCCTGCTCCTTGTGTGGAGCAGGTGCGTTCGTTGATTTACTGTATATAGAGATATAGAGTATAGGTGCTCCTATGGCTCCGCCACCGCTCGGCTTCGCACAGCCCGTCAAATTTGCTTGCTTTGTATTGTGTTGTGATGTTTTGTTTGATAAGGCTGATAAGTTTGTTAAGATTGTTTTGCCGGGAGGGACCAAATTCTGAAGCTGTGCCTTTGTTCTGGCCATCCGTTTCTGAGCCAGTCTCCTAACTCAGTGGAGCACCGTTTGTGGTTGAAGGAGGGACTGGAGCAAGCGAGAAAAATACGTGTGGGCATTTCACAATAGTCTTTGCATCAAACCCGGAACGGGGGGGTTGCGGTACCGGATCCAAAGCAAACCGAGTCTATAACCATGTGAACCCTAGGAAAGGCCAGTGTTCGACGCTGGAAGAGCCTTGGCTGCACCTAGCCTCGGCGCTACTGGATAATTGAAAACAATTGAACACGTTCAGCAGCTTATCTAGCCGGCAACAACTCGTCAGCCTAGGCTGCCAAGCGCTTATGGGCCGGACTCCTTCGGTCAGTGCTTCGTAGTGCTTCCAAGCAGTTGCATTTGGACCGCAGCCTGGCAGCAGAGGCCAACTCCCATTGTGTATGTGTGTGTGCATACCGTTGGCATCCAACATCACTAAAAGGAAATCGACAGGTTAAGCTCCGTTTGCTTCGCTGTACCTTGCGGGAATTGCTCGAACTCAGGTGGCACTGTACTTTTCCTTCAGGGTGACCTGAACAGCCGCACTTTTTTGGAAGGGCGTGGCAAGGACCTTTTGCTGGAGGCCCAATCATGTCGATGCACAGCATTGACCCAGGTGCAGTCACTCTATACTCTATACGTGTGTATATATATATAAATACAGTATACAACGGGATCACTTCAAGAGAAAGAGAGTGAAGCTGAAATTGCAGCCTGCTTTGCCTCTTTGTCAGGTCTTGAAGGACCTGCCTCTACAGCGTGCCATCCAGCGTGACTTGGGAGCATTGCTTGGCTGTGAGGGGTCGACAGGGATTTTCGAAGCAACGAGCCCCGTTCCTAGCGTCCGATCGCTCCTAGTAGCGATGCCAGGGGCCCCGTTCGTAGCTTTTTGTTACTAGTAGCTACTTGCTCCTAGTAGTATGGCCAGGAGCCCCTAGTAGCGATGCCAGGAGCCCTTAGTAGCGTCCTAAGGTGCGGAAAAGCTGCCTTTCCTAGTTGCAATATGTTGCAATCACATCTCCCAAGGTGGCATGGACTTGCCCAATGGGAGATGGTATGAGGCAGCTCGAAGCATACAATCACTCTAAGCTTGTAGTTTTGACACGTTGTTTTCATCAGAGTCTCATTTCCCCCTTGGCTTTGCCATAAGGGGTTGAAACCTAGAATCTGAGAATCTAATGAACTAGGACCCTTATGACCAGTGAACTCTCAGATTGTCTTCGGTACCTTCTTCTTTGCATCTGCCAGTCCTTCCACAGGTGGCTTGCCCGGATACGGCGAAAGGTGCACTTCAGCTTCCAGTGACCTACAAGCTCCCAGCCTGAATCGGTGAATATTTGGCTACCAGAAAGCCGCCCTTGTCGCCTTCTTGTGACATTAGAAGACACAAGGAGTTGCAAATATGCTGCTTTGTGAGCATTCCTTTTGTGCATGTCTAGCAGCCTTGGAGGTTCATCCCAACTTCAGAGGCATCAGCAATCAGGACAGTTCTCACTTGGGGAACCATACAAAACGCCGCCACATATGATGACTGGTGACTTGGTTTATCTTGGTTCATTGCTTTTGATGGGCATGACCTGTGCCCTATTGCCAGACCTTGCCATGTCGCCCAACGAGTCTGATAGAGCCAAAATCTCATCATACTGTAGCATCCAACCCGCCAACCAGCCTGGCTAGGATCGGAGATGTCTTAGAGGAGGCTGGCAAAGCCAGGCTGGTCCATGGGGCCTCATTATTGCATTTAGTTTTGTCAATTTTTGTCATGTTTTGTCACTAGATGATCTCCAGCAACTCCAGTAAGCGCAATTGGATCACCCATGTCAGGTTGTTCCCCAATGCTGTCAGCAGTGGCCACTCGCCAAAGCTCCTCGGCTCAACCTTTCAAGCTTGATGAGAGACAGGAAGGGCAAAAGCGTCGAGAACCTATGCTGTTTTGCATGCTGATTGACCGATTAAAATGCATGGCAGCTCTCACCAATGCTGAGGAAATACCGCGAGACAATGGTTGACGCAGAAGATGCTTGCAGCAGATGCTGGGGCGCATTTTGAAGCATTTGCCTTTTCTACATAGTCTTCAGAGATGCCTTGTTTTCATACAGGACATTGGTGCAGGCTTAACATTTGCTTGATGGGAATCAGTTGTTCAAAGGATGGGGCCTGGCATTCCAGAAGAAAAAAAACTTCCGGCCTTTTCGCTTCCCGGCATGTTGGGGGGGCCCAGAGCTGTCATTTAGCAAAGTGGCTTGAGGTTTGAATGACGGACCGTGTTGGATATGAACAATGTATAAGAATATGCTCGGATCAGCTACTTTGGAGGCCCAGATCGGATGATCTACTGGGCGCCAGATGTGTTGGCACCGCGTCTTTTTTGGGAACCCTACCAGGGCTACCGCGTCAACCATGAGCAGCGCGGGAGTGCCTGGGCGCATTGATGGCAGGTCCTACCTTGTCAGCATTGAGAAGTAGCAATTCAATGCACATTTGCCACACGAGGGTATGGGATGACAAACAGCTCAGGTGATCACAAGCCCGCGGCTCGACAGCAATGGTGCCGCGTTCGGCGGAAAGCAGGTCAAGAGAAGTAGTGGATTCAATGTTTGTTCCTGCTTTGAGAGAGGGTGTGCTTTGCAACAAGCTGCTGGAATGAGACACGGGATGAACTTTCTTGCTGTGTTGGCTCAATTACAAGAGAGCCTCGCCAAGAAGCGACGGCTGTGGTTGCACTGTGGTCAACCAGCTATGGCTGCCAAGGCCTTGCACCGTCCGGTGGCGTTCCTTGCCTTGGCCACTGTCGTTCTGACGATATGTGCGCCGGCATGGCTGGCGCCCAGCGGGTCGCCGCAAGTGCCGAAGATTGCTTTGGCCCCTGTGGACCAGACAAGCTCCCTACGCAGCACCACGGCTAGTACCATGTCCTGGGGTTTGGCTTTAGCGGCTTGCGCCATCGCGGGACAGTCTTTCCGCTCCAGACAGCCTGTCCGATGCCAGGCTACACTGAAGCGGGTGGAAATGGTGGCGCCACCATCCGAGTTGGAGGCTCCAGAAAAGCCGACCCCGGTGGAGATGGTGGAAGTCTCTCGGGCCCAACTGCTGCGTGGCAGCGCTGGGCTGACAGCAGCTAGCTTGGCTAGCTTGGCAACCCCAGCCAATGCAGCTGCTGCCACCTGGGTCCAGTATGATTTGAACACAGGTGAGACTTTGTACGATGTGGACTTCGATGAGAAGGATCCCAATCATGGCTTCATTGTGGGAGCACGAGGACTCTTCTATGAGACCAAAGATGGTGGTGAAAGGTGGGTGTCCCGTTCCTTTGCGAACTTGGGCAAGGGCGAGGACATCAGTTACCGATTTCAGACTGTCTCGGTGAATGGTGATGAAGTTTGGATTGTGGGCAAGCCTCCGCTGCTCCTTCACTCAAAAGACAGTGGAAAGAGTTGGAAAAAGGTACCAGTGTCGCGGAAGCTGCCTGGAGAACCAAAGCTTATTGTGTCCTTGGGCCCCGGAAAAGCAGAGATGGCAACCAATAGTGGTGCCATTTATCTCACCGACAATGATGGAAAGAATTGGAGGTCACAAGTCTCGGAGACTATCGATGCTACGCTGAACCGCGTTTCAGCTAGCGGTGTGTCCGGAGGCAGTTACTTCACAGGTAGTGTGAAGGCCATCAAGCGTGATGCTGCTGGGCGTTACCTGGCTGTGGCACAGCGCGGGAACTTCTACTTGAGCTTCTCCCCCGGGGATGAACGTTGGCTTCCACACAACCGCATCTCAGCCCGGCGAATTCAAGGCATGGGATTCAGAGATGCAGCAGATGGTGAGAAGGTGGAGGGAGCATGGATGAGTCTCAATGGTGGTGTCCTGACCACCTGCGAGAAGGAAGGCTTCATGGATTTGGGCTCCGACACCAAGGACCTCTTTCAGCTCGCAAAGATCCGCTCCGGTGGCATTGGCATTATCGACATCGGATTCCGAACTCCCACAGAGGCATACGCCACAGGAGGCAGTGGAGTGATATACTTCACCAAAGATGGAGGAAAGACGTGGAGTTTCGACCCATCCGCAAAGGATTTGCCATGCAACTTGTACAATGTGAAGTTCTTTCAGAATGGAAAGGTTGGATACATGGTGGGCTCCGCGGGCATTTTGCTTCGCCGGACATTCGAAGTGTGAGGCTCTAGCGAGATTGGAGGGTGATCGGGCCTCGATTTTCGATGGCAATAGAGTGTGGTGGAATCAATTTTCGAAGCCCCCTGCGCCTTTGCGGAAAACGTGTGCTTGCGCGATGTCATTGAGAAGCTCGACACACTGCGCCAAAAATAGAATGTCTGGCGGTGTGATGATCCTTTTCAATCAATCTACTTAGATCGACTTAGCTGTGAGGTTTGGCTTGACCTGCTGCTGCGCGTTGCTCCCGCTGGCTCATCGCAGTGCGAAGAAGCTATTGACGAAGATGTGGTACTTTTCTGAGAATATTCAACTGTTTGCTGACTGCTATTTCGTCGCCTGCCCGTTCTTCAAGCCATGTATGTTCCCTCATGCTTGTTGGGTCAGCTGGCATGAAGAAGTGCATATGTCATAGAAGCATATAGGAACTAGCATCGTGTCGGAGTATAGCCCCCTCTTCAAGGCGGACTTGGAGGAATTGGGCCTACCACACGAAGCCCTTGCCTCAGCGACACTGCGTGACCTAGGACACCTCGACAAACGACTGACAGCTCCAAACGAAGTCTCTTGAACCAAGGCCACAGGGTCACGAAGCTGGTGGCCGAGGTACAAATAGGATCAAACAGGGCTAGGTGGCAATTTGAATGGCTCAAATTCACTAGTTACACCAGTTGCATCCAGTTGCTAATTCTTCACTAGTTGGAGCGGCTGGCTCAAATTGTAAGACATTGATTGATCAATAGAGTCGATTTCTTGGGTACCATGCAGTATGAGCCTCGCAGACTCGAACAGCTTTTGGGCATGAAGAAGTAAGACATGATATGTAAGGGCTGCCCAAAACAGGATGCAAATGTTTCAAGATACTCTCACCTTGGGGACCACCCTCAATACTTCAGTTGCAGGCGGCAAGAGTGTGGCTGGAACTGGACGCCAGACAATGATGCCGCCAGGGACCACAGCATTTACAATTCAGAGACCTGCAATCCTCAAGAGGAGTACTAATATAGTGTCTTTGTAATGCCTTGACGACAGTGGTCCAATGCCACTGGCCGTTTTTCATTGGTTTTGCCTGTTTCGCAAGCAGTGGTCATGAGTCGCCCGAAACATTAGGCAGACTGCGAGATTTGCGATGTCCCATTCTCCTTTCTGCGGCGGCGCCACCATTGATCCTTGTCTGGTTTTGTTCGGTTGTGCTTGAAAGGTGCTTCAGCCTTCCTTGGGCTAAATGCAGTATGATACCGTAATTATCAAAGGATTGGTCTCATGTCGCCTAACTCATGCGATAAGTCCTTTTGCGTCGCTGCAGAGAGAGTGAAATTATGTGCCCTTGAAGTGACTGAGAGAATTGACAACTTGTGCATGTTTATATGCCTTTGCAGCGGACACAACTGCACAGAAAGGGAGAGAGTTGAAGGCATGATTGAAACTGAAACTTGGACCAGACCGGAGCAGTTTGCTTCGGCTTTGTTCACCAGACCGAGCCCCTTTTACATATGTTCATGTGCATAGTCCTTGTTGTCAATGCCAACCTGTTCATGCCAACGAGGCCGGCATTGTGGTCGATGCATTTGTGACACCTGTAGTCCAGTCGAGTGCTGGCGCATTGTGCCAGAAATTGAAGCTACACGGCCCAGCCGTTTTTGCATCGAGTGCTCCCGACCTCCAAGTGAAGCAGCAGACGACTGAATGCAGGAGCAACACGACCAAGTTATGTGATGCAAAGGCCGGCCTCCCCTTTACGAAGCACATAGTTTTCGGAAGCTGCTCCTTCGTGCTGTCCAAAAAGGCGTCACCTGTGCAGAATCAAGGTTGCAAGATAAACAGGCCAGGTGTCAGAGTCAGAAACAGATCGAGATGGCAGATTCTATTTACTAGTCTTCTTGTTTTTTTCTCCGAGTGCAGCTGCAGCACATTCCAATACCAAGATCCAGTTGGCAACCTGGTATGAAGCTCTTGAGCAGCAAGTTGCGTGCCAAAGCTATGTCAAAGTGTCAGCTCACTGTCAGGCTGCTGCAAGAGTAAAGATTCGTTGGGCAAAGCTGCAGGAGATGGACCAACCCCAGTTGCATCAGGAATGGGAGGTGGGATGTCAGGATCGCTTGCTGCTAGCTAGTTGATCCCAAAAGTGCAACAAGAGGGTTGGGGGAAGGGTGCCAAGGCTGTGGCCATGGTTTGGCAATCTTGAGTTTGGGGACTTGTGGATTGTGATTGACTCTAGGCGGCTGGCTTTCTGGCAGCAGAGCAGATGCAGGCTTGATTGGCACGCTCAATTGGGGCAACATGCTACCGAAGTCGCATTATGTTGTTTTGTCTTGCATTTCACCACAATGAAGTCTCCTAAACAAGGATTTGGTTTGTATTGTGACACGACCTGGATGCCAAATAGTAGCCACCTCTCAAAGTGTTCTGGCGTCCTGTACCACATGCACAGGAGCCAGAGATGCGGGAAAGGCTGAAGGCCGGTTTAAGCTGGTTTCGTGTTCACTTGAGGTCGTAGGTGTTGATCGGATGGGTGCTCGATGTGGCAAATGTTGATTTCAAATATTTCAACCATTCACAGGGTCTTTTGGCTTCAAATTCTAACAGCCCTCCATTGTGCCACTTGCGCGCAGCTTCCAAACTAATCCTTGCATGCTGCCGTTCCTATCTCAAACTCTGATTGAAGATTCGTCAGTCTGGCTTCGTTCACAGGCATTGGCCCTGTGGAAAGAAATGCCTGCATAGAGCCCTAGTTTTCCAGGGTTTGTTGCACAGATTCATTAGCAGATTAGGACTTGAGCCTTGAGGTTTGACAGCCCTTTGCATTCACTCCCCTATTCGCCATTACGATGAATAGTTTCTAATCATCGTAATCATGTTGCTTTTTTCAAAGGAATTTTTTCGGGATGCCGAGACCGGCTGATCAGATTTGATCAGGTCCATTTACTTCAAGAGGAATGCCGAGACCTCGGTGTTGCCATCACAGGCCAGGAAGGCTTGAAACAGCACTGTGTTATTCTGCAAAGCTGGGCTTGTGTCCAGCTGTGTTTGGGGATTTGTACTGCAACAACTGTTTTCGTGCCTTTTGTGCTTCATGCTAGAAGAACCATCACCTATTTGGATGTTCTGACGAAGGTGAAGGCCCAACACACTCTGAGCTGCTGGAGTGAGAAGCCTGGCACAGTTGCATGAGACGCCACCGATGCAGCTGTTCAGAGACTAGGATGAAGATTCTTTTCAGGATGAGACTAGGTAGAGTTGTTCCTATTTTGAAAGCTTTTGTGAAGTTCATGTTTGCCTAGCTTTGGCCCAAGTGCATAGAAGGCACTTTGGCAGCATCAGTGCCACAGGCAGTTGATTTGTGGGGAATTTGTTTGGTCAGGGCTTTTGTGCAAACCTGGGAAGTGCAAGTGTATCATTTCCGATGTGCTTGGAGTGCCGATGGGCCAGGCAATCATGTCAAAGGCGCGGAGTGACCGAAGGACCAGGTCAAAGATGTTTGTGCGGTTGAACAGTGCCAGAGCGTTTTGGCATGTCCTATGTATACAATGATGTCACAATGGTTTTGCCAGGGCCGGTGCTGGCTTCTAGCGTTGCTGGCAATTGGTAGCCAGGCCTTTGCTGTGGCATTACTGGGTAAAAAGTGGTGAAGCTGTTGCAACTGAAGTCCAAAATTGCTGTGCAAAACCACTGTTAAATTATCTAGGTTAAAGCTGGAGGTTGACTCATGACATACTGTAGAGGGATGTTGTGCGGTCATCATGTTACCATGGTTTTTGTTCAAGCTTGTTGACGTATCTCCTGTCATGTGTTTTCACAGTCTCGGCCTCCCAGATCACATGGGTGCCGTTTGCCCCGACACAGCTCTCAAAGCAGCCCAGCCAGCAATGCGCAGAGAGAGAGAGAGGGAGAGTTGCCAATTTGATGAGACGTTTCATTATGAGGGGTACCGTTTGGACATCATGACAGGACAAGGGGTCGCAAGTACAAGCGTCCAAGTCTTTGAAATGCCCGCAATCTTTCAAGTTTCTTCGTTTTAACATATGTTTGTCGACCCGAATCTGCGCCCAAGGTCTAGGAGGAAAGGCTTGCTCTCAGCACTAGGCCATCTCACTGTGGGGGCTAGCGCGGAGCCTGCCTTCGACTGGGGCCAGGTCAGGTGCGTGCTTTTCCTTTCTGGTTTTGGTTTTGCTGAGCTCGGTATATAAAGAATAATGGAGCCCGATACCACGCTACAGACATGATTCCCGCTGCCTTGCCCTCTCCAAGTGCCAACGTCATTTGGCACATAGGAATTGGTAGAATACAGCAGATGTTTGTGTAGTGCATGCGCGTATGTATGTTTGTTGTTGTGCATTTTACAGGGCTACGCCGCCGTTTGCGGCTTTGGGGAATTTGCACCTTGTGACACTGGTGGTAGCGTGGTCATGAGTCATGAGCATGATTGCAGTCTTCTCCCTTCACAGACCCTTCACGGACCCCAAAGGCCCCCCCAAGTGAAGCACTGTGAACCCCCCACCTCAGTGCCGCTAACGGCGGCGTAGCCTTCAACAAGGGCAAGGCCCTTAGAAAAGCCACAGGCCACGCTGGTGCTGGTCCTTTGCTCTGCCCTGGCCTTGCCAGCCCGAGCTTTGGCTCCTACAGCTGAGTATCCGGACGGAAACCCAGCATCTTGGCATCTAATACAGGAACAGCTGGTGACAGTGCAGGCGGTTGCCCTTGTCACCTGAGGTTGCCAGTGACTTGCGGCTACCTGCCTTGCCTCAGGAAGAGCAACAAAGGACTGGGAAGAAAATGAACACACAAGTCAAAAGTACTGTACAGTAAAGTATCGAAAATGGAGCACCTTAATGTGAGGGTGCTGCCTACAGCCATTAATCTGACCGACATTTTACTAGCGTTGTGGCCAGCTGATGTGCATTTTCTCGCGCTTTCCCATAGGTTAAGGAGCACGAAACATGCACCCCTGAGACTGCTGAGGAGAAGAACGACACCTAGAGAGCAACTGAAAGTTGAGCAATGGTACAAGCAAGGCCACCTGGCTACAAACGCTCCAGTGTGTGGAGTCTTCTTAGAAGTGGAAAATCTACAGAATTGTCACGACCGCTCAATTTGCAAAGCTGTTCACCTGCCACTAAGATGCGTAATTCAGGGGCAGTTCTTGGAGGTGCACGTTGATGCCAAGGTAAGCGTGCCTTTGAAACCAACTGCTCGGGCTGTCATCCAATTTCGCGCTTCGTGAACGAGAGAAATCAGATACTTGGCTTGGACCTCTACTCAGACATTGGTCGCATGCTTCACCTACTAGTATTTGCTAGTTCCTTCAGGTGCCAACGAAAAACGTCAATGCCCTAGGCCAAAATAAAGAGACGTTGTTGGAAAAACAAAGAGGCTTCAGGTCTTCAGGCAGGCTTTACCAAGTGTTGGCCTGACCCGGTCCAAGGGATCAGCTAATGACCAAAGAGCTTCTTGGCGAATGAGGAAGGCACTCATAGGCGCACACAACAGTCCAACCGCTCTCACGTCGCAACCTCGTATGATCTCAAAGGAATTGTTGTTTCAAGTTTCGCCGAGCAAGTGATTTTCGTTGACCTTTTATCAGCCTTATCGTTCCGGCTTTTGGAGTTGCCAATGCTGTGGCCTTTGTTGACCTGTGGATTGCTGTGGATGTTACGTTTTTGCCTCAACAAAGCTGAGGTATTTTGAAAAGCGAGGCGGTATAGATGAGTCCCGGATTCAGCAGCTCGGCCTGTGGCCTCTTGAAAGATGATCCAAAGTTCCGATGCGATAGAACATAATGTGTGATCGCATCATGCTGTGCTTAGTGGATGCACAAAGATGCGCAAATACAAAGCTGACCATGAACGTATGGAGCACGAGCATGTTCATGGTTCCACCAAACAAGCAGAAACTGTTATATGCAGAATATAGTGTGCATAAGAACCTCAAATAAGGAACTACATCCGTTTATTAATGCAGCTCTTGTATGAGCAAGGGATGTTCAAGCGTTTGAACACAATAATCTACAGTTGGATACAGTTGTCCTGATCCAAGTGGCAGCCCATCCAAATGAGAAGAACAAACAAGGCCCATCGGCCCAATTTCGTCCGTGCAAGTAAACCAACCGAAGCCTTTGGAAGCGGCCTGGCAGGTACAACATCCGCTACGGCGCCGGTAACATGCCAGGTTACGCCGCGGTGCCTTGACGTTGTTTGCATTTGTTGATCTCCCACTCCCTGCCCTGCTCTTAATACCCTTTGACCCTGGTTCTATCCAAGGTTTGCCTTGCACTCGCAATTTAAAAAGCTACTACTGGCTAGTGGCGTCGGTGCAAGGAATGCAGCAACGCAGTGTTTTCCTTGAAGTGCCTTCCTGGTGATCGAAAGTGAATCTAATTCCGGAAACCTCAGTATTGTCAGCGCTTTCCCTCAGTTCAGCATGAGACTCAGGACTGCGGGGATCTCAACGACAACTTTGCCGCTACCTGCAGCACCGTCGTCCCACTCTCTGAGGAGAAGCTGCGCGATGTGCCTTGGAAGCTCCACTGGCTCCGGCCCGCGCGGCCCCTGGAGCCCCATAGTTTTTTAATGTTCAGGTTTGCCTTGGAAATTAACATGCCAACTTTGCAAGGCACTAGCTTCATGATACAGTAGTGTTGCCTGCGTTGGCTTCTTCGCGACTTCAGACAAGTGTAATCATGGCAAGAAGCAAGTTGCACCTACCACATGTTCTATTTGAGCCCGTCAGTTTGTGAGTTTGATGTCGATGTTGAGAACACACATCAGTGAGGCCAGAGATTGAAAGGCATGTCGAATTTAATTAGCTGACAAACAAGTGTGTAGCGAACAAAAAGTAGAAACAGGCTGACTTGGATGTTGAATTAGATGCTCACTGTTACTCGTGGTGGTCTGTTTGCATGCAGCTGAGGTGCAGGATTATTTGCTGAACCGTTTTAGCCTCAATGGACCTCAGGTGTTTTAGGGCGGTCACTGAAAGAAGTGCAGCCTGCAGAGTTGGAAAACTTTCCTATGCTTCGGATACGGCTCACTTTGCTGTGACTTGTTTCTGGGACGCTTTGATACGAACACACTGCTGGATGCATGACATACCCCATCATCAGATGACGTAGCTCCTAAGGTGTGAATACTGTGGCTTGGCTTATATAATCAAATCGCGGCCGAGGTGTGTCGTGATGCGTAGTGGCGGACTCCGGCTTCTATGCAACAATGCAAAAGTGAACGATTGTGACTGTATGTGAGTAAGGTAGTGTAAGATTGAATTGAATCAAATTTGGCGATTCCCTAATTAGCTGGAATGCTTGAAAGTACTGGTGGTGCACTCAGGACAATTGGCAAACCCCGCCTTGATTGGTGCATCAAGCAGTGGGGTGCTTCGCGGCTGAGGGCCCTTAATTGGGTGGCCCATGCCGAGTGAGAGATTTGCCTCATTCGTGCACCATCGTGCACCCACAGAGGAGAGAATCTCCGGCTTCAGGAAGTTTGGGGTATGCCACCTGAGCCAAGTTGTTGTTTGACCATCCATTTTTCAAGCTGTTTCAATATGTTTCAATCGCATGCTGTGTTTCTTGCAAGCTGGTTGATGCCGACCTCCTCATGCTGCTCCAGAGGTGCATCAGGCTGGCCCTGACATGCGTCTCCACATCGTCATAGCCGAAGCTCTGCAGAAACTCCACACTAGCGGCCGGTGGTTAGCACGTAAAAGGGTCAGTTCGATTGCTGTGCTGGGCCAGGAATAGACTTCAGACTTCACAAATTTCGCAGTGTTGAAGGGGATGCAAACCATCATCAACCCTCGAGGTTTGCATGTGTTGGTGTCGTGTGCTTCTTTGTACTTTCATGGCCGGGCTTGCTTCTGGGAGCCCGGAATGGCGGTGGCTGGTGGCTTCGGCCTTCCCGATTCTAAAAGCGCCCAAGGCAATTGACTGCGGCAAAGTCTTTGACACCGGGGCAGGCGAGGATGTGCCAAGACTTGAGGAGCACGTGGTATTCACCACTTGCCCTTTGGAGAACCTGTTTGAAGCGACAATACTATGGATATGGCATTCAAACTCGTTCAACAACGATAATCTGGGAGATTCCAAGAGGTTATTCTTCTATTTGGTCTAAGGTGACACAACGCAAAATGTTGTGGTTTGAGAGATTGTTTTAACATTTTTGAACAAGCACCTCCCATAATGGGAGCAGGTAGCATCCTGGGAGGCCGCGGGAGTGACTCGACAGCAAACAACTGGGATTGCAGATTGGTCGACCGTGGTGCCTTCCAGCAACCAGTGGATTTGAACATTCGAGAGTCAAGATCCTTGGCTCGTACCAGCAGCTGTGCCAACATTGGTGAGTTGGTTGCATAGCAGCGTTTTGCCGAACGCCGACCTAAGAAGAGAACAAAATATGTTGATCTTCAATGCAAATCCCTTGCAAGGGCCTCAGTTTTGCCCCTCCACCAGGTGCCACAGTTTTGCAAGCTTAGGTCGGACTCCAACGCTTGCGTCCTGCTGGCTCTACTGAGTCTGAAACAGCGTAGACAAGGGAAACATGCCAGGTGGCAAAACAGAGGTTGCCCATGGTTGCCCTAAAATTCCAGGTTCCCACGCGTTCCAGTGCTTATAATGAGTGCCCTTGCAGCCGGCTCCAAATATGCAGAAATTGTTCCTTGTTCCCTGGAGATCCTGGAGCTTTGAATCCCTTTGACCCCCTTTCAGAACTGCTTGTGCCTTTTTTTGGTCGACCTCCTACTTATGTATAACTAAGTATATTAAGTAAGCGCCTACTTAATTAAGTAAGGCGACTAGAGCTACTAGGCTAAGTTAAGCTACTACCCAATACCTACTGAACGCAGGATAGCTCTCAGTCTCTAGTGATTTGGTTCCTATGTTTTTAGGGATGGTTTCCCCTTGGCCAGGGTCGCAACAAGAACGTGTCGAGTTGGTTGTGCGCTTAGAAGCCCTGGAGAAGATGAGCAATTCGGACCTCAGGATGGGACATGTGACATATCTCTTGCATGTGGTAGAAAGCATAGCTTAGCTTACCTCCTTACTTAGCTTAGAAAGCCTCACCTCACGGCCCACCAGGAAGCGAGGTTCTGGAATAAAGTTTACCCTGAGTGTAAAAGCATTCTTACGAACCCTCGCTGCAGTTGATTCAAGGCCTGAGACCTTTCAGAGTTGGGTCTGGCGGTGTTGCGCCTGCGATGCGCAGGCTTCAATATCAAGAGGCTGTAGCTCTTCCACCAGAAGCCCGGGAGCCTGCAGCTTGAGAGAATCATAGAAACCACTCACGTGGATTTCTTGTCCATGAGAAAAAGCATTCACGTGCATACACACATGTATGATGATGTATGCTGACACCTATGGTATCATAGCTCGCTACAGTGCGTTGAATGCGCACACGCGCACAATAGAGGTGAAAGGTGCAGGTAATCTCACAGCTGTTGTTTGCAATCAGCAGATTGAACCTTCTCGAAGGACCGATTTAAGTAGACTCCATCTCACAAATACAATGTTGTGAAGTCAGGAGCCTTTTGCCCACATGCGTTCCAAAAATGCCGGCTCAAGATAAATCAGATGAATAAAGGAAGCATGGCAAAACCATAACATGTTTTGCCCACAGAATCACTTGAGCCTCTTGAGACCTTGCTCATAGGAAGCAGGACCTTTTTGCAGATCCCATAATGAATTTGAAGGAATTCACTGAGTGGCTCGCACTGTTGGCCCCACCCAGTTCAAACATGGTCAGAGCTGCAAGTGTCGATTCAAACGCTCTTTCACTCCCCCTTTGCTCCTCCGCCATGCCTCGGTGACACGCATTATGCCCGGCGCCGCCTGGGACTTCGCGTGGTTCGTCTGAGCCTTAGGCCAGATGCTGCACGAGGAGAGAACACAGGATCGCAGAGGTGCTGTTCTAGTAGTGTGGGCAACCTTGGCTTAAGTAAAAATAGCACTCATGCAAGGGATGCAATTCGCAAGTGCATGTTGTAGTTGCATGTAGTTGCTGCTGGGTGATTCGCTGGCAAGGACAACAGATGGCCTTCCAGCAGGAGATCAACAGGCCAGCATCCTTTTAGCAGAATGGGAGATGAATCGGCGATGAATTTACATGTTTGAACACATACTAGTATCAATCATTGCCGCAATGCCTGGGATGACATAGCATAGGCTAGCAGCTAGAACAGGTCAAGTTGGTACACCAGCTCGCACCTTCGCTGACTTGCCTCCTTGCAAGCAGATTCGAGGAAGCAGCTTCTTTGAGGTGAGAGAGCCCGAGATCAAAGGCCAGATGCCCTGAAGGAGACCGTTACGGTACAAAGATTGAAACGATTGCAGTTGTTCTCCAGTCCTGGATCGGTAGGAGTTAGTAGGAGTTGCATTGAAAAATACTTTTCTTTTTGTGTCAACTTGGCAAGGCAATACCTGTTTTTCCTGTGCAGGCAAGACCGTCAAGGCTCGCCATACGAGATTAGCATCTTGTTTTTGTCGGACCGGTGGCAACTCACTTACTTGTCCATTTGGTGTGAGGGTTGTTCTTTAGTGTGACTGGCAGCTTTGTTTGGACTTCTTTTGCATGGCAAGCAATTGATAGCTGCGGCTTGCTGATCTGAGGTGCCTGAGAGAGTAGTGGCGCTGAGCTCAAAGATACATCCCTTGAAGTCAGGCGGGGGTGTACGTCCCTGTGTCAGTCAAAATCCTGCTTAGTCTTACTCTTCGAGTTTGCAAGAAATTGAAGGGAAGGACGGCGCATTGCTGATATCAATAGCAAGAGTAACAATCGATGATAGTCATTGTGTAGTCAGCTGAGATATGCAAGAGGAAGAAGCTCGGCACATTAGCATCATGCCACGAAGTTGTACCGCCCTCCAGGCATTCTAGCCCTGTCGCAGCGCCATGGCGCAGTGCGGCCACATGGCACTAGCAGGCACAAAAGCAACTCGACTTTGATTGTCCTTACAAACAAGTTCCTTTTGTGCGTTAGCGTTCCTTCAGTTCCTTCAGTTTTTGTCCACAGATGTCGAGCATTTTTCGGCATGTGCTGTGCTCCGGCATTTGCTACACTGAGGTGTAGGTCTTCTTGCTTCACCAGGCCTTCCCTTTCGATGCCTATTGCGTTACTTTCGAACTGTTTATCCGGTGTAGGAGAGCCGTGGTGCACTGTTCAAGTGGCTGGCTTAAACTTAATGAATTCTATTTTCAATGCATTATGCTTGAGAGCGTATGTCATGTGTCTAAACAGATGGAGATGGGATCGGATCGCCGGCTGACTTGTGCGTGCAGGCCAGCATGCCCATGCGCCTTATGGTGGAGACTACGGCAGTTATGATCCATACGCTGGAGGCTATGATCCTTACGCAGGCAACTATGACCCGTATGACGGTGGCTACCATGAATACGCCCCGGAGGACGACTATGCTCCGGTAGACTATGGAGGAGCCGCTTCACCTTTCTTGCCAAACCTGGTTATATCCAGAGACGATGTGTTAGTGATGTAAGGGTAAGGCAACTGAAGTATCAGCTCCTTGTAAATATAGGAAAGAGTGTGTGCATTCAGTAACCTGAGCCTATTAGCCTTCCCGCTCTAAAATCTCGGCATAGTGGGGCCATGTTCTCTGAAACCGCATGCGACATGTGCCGGTGATGGGTGTTAAGTCCAACGCACCGTGCCACCGATTTCAGGTGCACCCCAACAGGAAGCGACACATCGTGCAATTCTTGGGATGCCCAAAGCGCCATGCCACATGCCGCACCAGATGTTAAGCTTATGTTTGCCAGATCCCTTTATTCTAGAAGTTGTTCATCTTGAAAAAAATGCAAAAAAATATCACAAAGGAAAGCCAGAAAAACAAAAGCAATCATCAAAGCAAAAAAAAACAAAATTACAAGCAAAAATGGAACAACACAGCATGTTTGTAAAAATGGTTGGTGAGTGGATACTGTATGATATGATTAGATTTAGGTTCCAATGATTCCAATGATATGATTGGAGTCATTGGATGATTTGATTCTAAGGATTGAAGCAATGGGTTTCGCACCTGTACTTCCACTGAATGGATCATGATAGGGGAAGCCGGTATTCAGCACCTGTTCCACGAAGGATGTCCTGTAGCTGTGCATCCCTCCAAAAAGCTCTGGGGTGGCTGAAATCTACATGGTCCCTGAGGTTTTTGCACTCAGCCGGGCATTTTTGTTGGTGGCGGCACTTTCTGGCACACTTTTTAATGTTTGTTCAATGTTGTGTTTTTGTTTGACACCTGACCTGGCACCAGAAACAAAAGCGACCAAAAGTGAGACACTTGACACACACTAGAAAACCAGTCAGCTGGGCTTCGGGGATGGAAGATCCTTGACCCTTGGCCCTTCTTCCTCACCCAGTACTAACCCTACCCACCCTCTTGCTAGTGACTAGTGGTGCGGGTAGGTAGTAGTAGTAGTAGTAGTAGTAGTAGGTAGTGGTAGTAGTGGTGGTAGTGGTCGTGGTCGTGGTCGTGGTCGTGGTCGTAGTGGTGGTCGTAGTGGTGGTCGTAGTGGTGGTGGTGGTGGTGGTGGTGGTGGTCGGAGTCGTAGTCGTAGTCGTAAGTCGTAGTCGTCAGTCGTAAGTCGTAAGTCGTAGTAGTAGTCGTAGTAGTAGTAGTAGTCAGTAGTAGTCAGTAGGAGTAGTAGTAGTAGTAGTTTATGTCGTCGTCGTCGCTGTCGGAGTCGTAGTCGTAGTAGTACTTTAAGTGTGTGTGTGTGTGTGTGTTCCTTTTCTTTTGCTTTCTTGGCAACTCTTTTCTTGCACTTGGTTGTTGCTTGTGTTTTTTGGTTTGCACTTTTGGTGCTTCATTAACGTTTTTTCAAGATGCGAGGTTTCTAGAACAACCCCACCACTGGTGGACATAATGTTAAGCATGCCTTGGGCAGTCGAACCCTGGTCCCTTCTCCTGCACGCTCGCCACAAAGGAGAGATGGAGGAGCCCCCGCCTCCAGCAATTCCAATGCCTGAAGGAAACGAGCAGGGTGGGTGAGGATTGTGAAATCAGAAGCTATTGGGTTGACATGGCTCCATGGACGGAGTGGACTCCACTACACCAATCTACACTATAGTTACGCACATTTTCCCCTTGGAGATGTTTGCGTTCAAACCTTTAGGGGTTTCAGATATTTTGGCCCTTTGGCCCCCCAAAGCTTTGGAGGAGAAGTCGAAGCTCTCAAAGCAGAGATTCTCGGACGCATTCAAGCAGACATGTGATTGTATCCCTTTCTTTCAGCGGATTTGTAGGAACGTTTGGCTCAACAACGCGGTTTCCAAGGCAGATGCAAGACGCGGCCTTGAAGCAGTGTATGGCCAAGTGCCCTATTTGGGATGCTTGCTAGCAGACAATAACAACATGGCACAAAGGCCTTGCTGCGAGCAAGGCAACGTGAGCATTGATGGGAATACGAATGATCTAACTATATAGGATCTAACTATTACATACATACATATATATATATACATAGTATACACATACATACATTTCTGTGTGTGCACATTATATTAGCTTTTGACACTGATGTTTGGAAAGTTGTGGCGGGCATAGAGCAAAAGTTTGTTTGCAAAAAGGACCCGTTGGCAACTGCAAAGCCTGAAGATCTTCAGCATGCATCGCTTGCCGCCAAGCTAAACAATGATGGGAGCCGTATTCGTTCCAGTTGACTTCGATGATTGGTTCCAACACAGTGATGCTGAATGTCTTTCGCAAGTGTCTATTTTGATCCTAGGCCCCGTTCCTTGTTTATGTTCAAGCTGGCCTATAAATCAAGAACTGATTTGAAGCATGCCCTTTGCCCACAAGAATGGAAGCGGGCCAGTGGCCTGTGGAAGGCATCCCCACCAGGAATCCCCTCAAGGGTAGGCTGACATTCAACAGTTGGCAAGAATGTCCTGCCTTGATTTATCATCACGGAGGGCCAGCATTGACACCCGTTCTCGGATTGTCGATGCTTTACTTTTGAAGGCTAGGCTGGTAGTGAAAAGGATATCAAAGTTTGGGGACATTCGTTGCGGCGGCGGTTCCCGAGTCACAAGTGATCCCCCCGCCGATTAGCTGAGCTTATGCAGCTGTTTGATTCTGATATGATTATGATATGGTTGTTATGATACACATGAGCCGACGTGCAGGTGGTGCTACAGCGTTTAGCACGCCCAGAGCGTCGTATTGCACCATCTTTGCGCCGTGCATCTGCGGCAGTGGATGCTGCTGGCCGGAGCTTTGAGCGATGGGTCCGTAGCTATGTCAGCAAAGAATGGAGCTCCGGAGGGTTCTCGAGACAAAACCGCGTTTCTTTTTGGGAGGGGCCGACCTCCTACTTAATTAAGTGCGGTGAGGGTGCCGCAGGTGCCAGGGCGCGGATAGTGGGAAGCGACCTTCAAGGGTGCTCGACTGTTGTGGTACATGGCTAAGCGGCTAAGGTAAACGACAGGATTTGGGGCGCGAGCTTCCTAAGCTACGGCATCTTGGAGCAAACAAGGCAGAGAGTGCCCACTCAGCATACCAATGTAGGGAGGTTAAAGGCTGCAAGCTTCGCACAGTAGGCCGTTGATACATGTTGATACTAAGATTTTGCTGGGCTTGCATGTTGGTTTCGTTGCCCCATGCAGTCAGAAGTGCTACATTCCACCCTACTGTAATTGAAATGCTTGTTTACGCTGACAAGTCATAATTGCACAAACAAAACTTAAACAACTCATCAGGATACGGAGGGTGAAGATGCTTGTATCAAACGCTTTGTGTAAACCATTGTAAAGCACACCATGTGCATAACAGGGCTCTTTGTTGATTGCGGAATCATGAGACTGGGGGCGGCAACACATGAAGCTCTCCATTGATGTCAAAAGGATTCAAAACGAGTGACTTTGGTTTGCACTCGGACCTGAGAAAAAAAGCAATCAATGTCATTGCCCGTCGCGCAAGGAAGATCATCATGGGTTGCAAGACTCTGCAGGATGAGCAAGATGCTCAAGAGGTCGACAACGACCTTGAGGCCATCCGCACAAACGGAGTGTCGGCCAATGTGACATCCGATCGTATCATGCCTTTGAGGCCATCCGTGCAGAGACCGACCGAGCACGGCAGCAGGTGCAAAAAAATGCTAGTGAAGCAGAGCTAGCACAGGAGAGCATTGTGCCACTTGGTTTTCAACATATGGCCCAGAGCAGTCTAAGAGCACCTTGTAACACCAGAGTTTTTTTGTCCGAAGGCTCGCTCTTTGCTCTAGGACTTCGGACAGTGGATGAGCAAATGTGGGCCTTTGTTCGTCCTCCTTATATGTTTTCACATCTATATATATATTATATATATAATCTCTTTGAATCTCCATTGTTTGTTGCCATGTGTTGCACATGTCCTGGTATTTTTGTGTCGGACCTCCATTGCAACTATCTCTTGACAGCACTGAAGAAGTCTGCTTGGCAATCAGCTTGCTTTTGGGTCTCTAGTCAAGTAGGTTGTCAAACGATTGCTTCTGCACACATGGCCCCATGAAAGTGAGGAGATATGATATGAGTGGAGTTTATACGATTGCAGCAGATCTCCTTTCTCAGCACCTGTGAAGCGACTAAGGATGCAGGATGTTGGTCACATGCAGGGCAAGGCCGTTTGGTTGCCAAAGAGTGAATCATTCCGCACGCAATCCGGCCTGTACTTTCACAGTAGATAGTAAATAGGGAGTTGAAATCATTTCAAGGGTGTCAGGCAGTGTACTTACATTTGCTTGATATGTCTACCGAACGGTTGACCATGCAAGGCCGATCGGTGGGCTCTGGAGCAGGCAGCGCCTTCTAAGTAAACTACAGCAGAGGCCAACGAAGTGGGGAAGGGTGTAAAAGCATAAGAGTACTCTTCCAGGTTTGACTCACGAAGCATGGAGGTTTGGTTGGTTCATTGCTTAAAATTTGACTCTACTTTGCAGCAGGAGATGCAGCAGCAGGACCGACGGGATGCGCTCGTTGACTCGCAGGTCAGCGACACCAGAGATATTGGTAGTTGGTCGAGACAGTGTAAAGACCTTGTACGTCCATGGGGAGATATTTGGGCCAAGGCCATGCAGCAAGTCAATGGCTACAACCAGCAGGGTGCAGACTTTCAACAAAGACAGATGGAGGAGGCAGGCCCCATCTTTGTTTGTGGCTTCGGGCTTGAATTTGAAATGATGTGACGCACGGAATTGCGTTGTTGACTAAAGGCAGCGACAACTCCAGGTCACAAAAGAGATGAAGCAGTTGCCCTCAAGCAGTTTGGAGCTGAAAGCATCGAAGGTCGGGTAAAACTGCTGAGATTCCAAGGAAACAAGCTGACCTAGCCACAGACCTAATTGTTCAGTCCCGACTTTTAAACTGCAAATCTCAGTTTGGTTTGTTTTTAGGTGTTATTAAACAGTTCTTGGAACTTATGGCAAGAACATGTTTCCTTGTTTGGGGGCAATTTGCTGCTCTCTCCAATTACGTAGCAAAAGCATGCAAAAGTGCAGCTGCAGATTTAGACTCATGAAGCACCAGGGTCTCGCATTGAGCTGCATGCTGCTATTTCCCTAGCCTATTATTAGGACGTGTGACCAAAGCTCCCCTTGGTCGGGTCCATTCTCACAGAAGTGTTTTGATGGTGTTTGCTTACATTGTTACTACTAGTAAGGCACTTTGCTCCTAGTAGCGATGCACTTGTTACTACTAGCGATGCACCTGTTAGCTTTCTATATAGCAAGGCTCCTTCATATTTCTGCCACAAGGGCCACTGGGGAGGTCGCTCCCTCATTTGCTTGTGCCAGGATGCATCAAGAGGACGGGCTTTGCGGTTCAAGAGGGATGCAAAATTTGTGGAGTTGGTGGTGTCAATCCAAGGTTAAAAAGTCATCCCATGTCGCTCAGTAAGATGCGCAACTGGGTTGACGTTATTGATAGCTGAGTTGAGTGTGCAGCTTACAGAGTGACTGACGGGTTCATTCCCACACAGCAGTGGCTGAGAAAGGGAAAGTTAGAGAGAACATCTCTGCTGCGGGGTTGTTGTTTGCAGAATGATCAGCTCCAGCATGGAAAGCTGTGCTCACAGGAGCCCCGACCTCGTTGCAGTCCTTGGCCAAGAGCATTGATCTAGAAGGGCCAGAAGGTCAGAATCCCACTCAACAATCTCACCATCATCATCATCATCATCACCACGGAGGCTGGTTGCCTTTGAGTCGCTGAGAAAAGGACCGTATGTTAAACAGATGTTGCCTGGCAGGGCATTTCCATTTTTGTGTGCTTCCTTGGTCGAAAAGATGCTAGCAGCTAGCAGCACAAAGCAAAACATCATCGGATTCTTTATTTCTTGTCATGCTATACTTTCAGGTGCCCATGAAGCCTGGCACAATCACTGTGATGATGGTGGCTGTTATGATGAGTATGGAGGCGTGCTTTTTGCAAAGGAGTGTCTAAATGGCCATCCACAGAAGCCAAAGCCTTGACTTGACAATCTTTTTTGGATGGGGGACTCAACACGTTCACATTGGCAAGTATGAAGTAAGTATGTGTGGTTTTTTGGTACTCGAATGTTGCTGTTGAGGGAAATGGAAAATAAGATGATACTTCTTTCAAATTTATATAGCTGGGCAGCTGATGATACAATTGCAGCTGCCGCCTTCCCTGTCGAAATCGAGGGCTCCTTGCAAACTTTTCCTTCAATACGTCATAACGCTTGGCAATGCCGAGGCTACTGGGATGATATCCATGGAGGGTATTGGGATGAGTATGGCCGCTACTGGGAAGAAGGCTGGGGAGGCTACTGGGATCCTGATGGAACATACTATGTGTGCCTTTGAAGCACCAGTCGCCGCACTTACTGTAGTGCTTTTTTGGGGCCACCTGAGATAAATGCGATCTAAAAGGTATTTGCAACTGGGTGCCCCGGTCCTTGATGAATCGCCTGGTTGAAAGCAGACGACCAGTGGCCGTATTGACCATTCGTCAATTTGTCAGCAATCCCTTGTCAGCATTGAACGAGCCCTCCCAATGATGCGCTTCACATAAGGAAGGATGACGCTCAGGAAGCAAAAGAGGATGCTAGCTCATTGCAGGCCAGCATGTTTGGATGCATCAGGATAAGCCTCAAAATCCAAAAAGAACGGAAGAAGTGCTGTGACAGACGAACGGCTTTTGAGGGTTTTTGGCTTCCATCCAAAAAGCCGTCATTCATGACAGACGGATGGGTGAGGCACAAAATACTTGTTCGCTGTATGCTGTTGCGTGGCAAATGTTGCAGCTGGATGTCCTGCAACACTTTTCAGTTCACGTGCTCACTGCAAGCTGTCATGCCGCTTGACATCATGTGTTGCCTTGCCGAGCAGGAGTGGTTTAAGCAGTGCGGTCAGATTCGCATTCCTCCGTCAATTGTCGCAACGCGGCGTGCAGCCAGCGAAGCCTATTGGGACTTTGACAGGCCACGTCAAGACCTGACGCCCCGTTTCTAAAAATTCAAGCTGTTTGTGGTAGGTATCATGAGTTGTTCCGCTGAGATTCCATTTGGACATAGCACCGAGCACGAAAACATTCGCAACTAACTCGGAATGCATGATGTTACGGTGTTTCAAGAAGGAGGATGCTCTTCACAAAGGAGAGCCAAGTAGATTACTAAGTAGATGATGAGAAACTCGCACAAAAAAGAAGAAAAACTCGCTTTGGAATTAAAGATGTCGACTTGTCACCAAATGGGGCAGGTCTTTGGCAGTGGCCGAGAAGGCAGTAGATGACGCCCTCACCTCAGCAAGGCGGCCTTTTGCTTCAAAGAGAACGCTGATCAAACTCAAGAAATCCCTCCATGCTGTAGGAGACGGCTGGGATGTGAACTCATTTTGCAGTAGATGCAGTAGCCACTTCATGGGTAAGCTTGGGACACTGTTGTGAATCAAGCTTTTGCAGTTTGGCTCGCACCACATTCACATGTTCTTGTTCTTTCATATGTGTCACATGACTGTTTCTCAGAGCTACAGCCATTTGGCAGGATGAAAGGTGAATGACTTGCCACAAAGAGCAAAGAGCTGTGACATTGGCCAAAATGGCTATGTTGCACGAGCGTGCTCGCGGCATGACAGGCTGGTTTTTAGGAGATACATACTGGCAACATACAGCCAGTTGAAATCATGGCAAACAAGATGTGACGCTTGTTCAGCCACGACCTGCCCTTTGGTGCCGAAACCTTATGCAGAGTTTAAGACCCTTCTTGCACTGAACATGGCCGAGAGAAACAAAAAAGTCAACCTTGAATCCAGCAAGCTGTCCATGGTGCAAATCATGATTCAGAGCCAGGATTTTGTGGTCAAGCAGTTTGCTATGTCCCCCATAGAGCTTTTGAGAGCTTGTTTGGAGGACAGGCCGGGTTTAGATGCTGGGTAAACCTTGAAAAATTTAAGGCAACGTAACTACAGGGTTCGCTACGTTACAAGACGTCCAGGGGTCAGTTGGGCCGTGGCGAGGGTAAGGTTGAACAGTGCACCGGCCAAGGCTGCCTCAGTGCCTGAGGATGGGCGGGCGAGCCATTTGAGTGTGTTTATTTAAATAATTACATATATATATATATACATATTACGTGCCAAAGAAGTTCGTGCCTTGATTCTGTCGACAGAGTGGGGAAGTTTGAAAGGAGGGCATTGCTTTGGGCAGGATCGAGAAGAACTTATTCCAAGGCTGAGGCTGTGCTTAGGGAGCCCGGACATGGCCATGCGTTGCATGCATGGGTTGACAGTTTCAGGTTTCCACATGAGTTGTCGTGGTGCCATGTGGTGCCTCCTTGGAGCTGGGAGCCGTGACTGTATGGATATCGTGGAGTTTGTTTTATCAATGCCGAAAGCTTTTACAGAGCTTTCGGCATGGTCGGGCCGCTGCAGCCAGCTGCCTTTTCAAATCGATTGGAATTCTGGAAAAAATATCAACTGCACACAAAGGATTAAGAATTCCTGTTGCAGAAAAGATGACCTAGTTAGTATGCAACAGCATTCACCATCCTCACCTGCCAACTCGACGTGGAGCCGTGGAGCAATGTCTCTCGATTTGATTGTGCCAATTTCGCAGGCACTTTGCAAGCCGAGGGTTTCGCGGGCTAGTTGGCTCCGTGCTGAAAAATGCTGTAATATGCTGTAATTATATAACAAGGAAGGCTGCCATGAGCAAATTTTGTGCCTCGGGATGTCAAGATCACAATGTAAGTAGGATTGCTTGTTGCTTCAAACGTTCCATAGGGCACGGTAGAAGTGCAAGTAGAGGACAACCGCTGAATCAATATATAATGTCAAACTGAACTGAAACTTGTCCGACAGAGGTGACATCGCTGCGTTTGAGTCCTTCACGTGCAAAGTCGTTTGCGCCTGCCCGAATTGCAAGATGCGCTAGCCAACATTCGGAGGAGCAAAAGACGGTTTGTTCTCAAGGTCAGTGGAATCAGCTCTTGCTTTGTCACCGCACACTTGTTCAATAGTGCTTGATGTTGCCAAGTGTTGTGGCTAATTGATGCAACCATATGATGGTGCATCGTCCATACCGACATGCAGCAGGTGAAAGATACTTTACCCAAGCCCCTATAAGAATATAATATACCAGCAGGAGGCAGAGCCACCACATCCTCTAACACTCCATGCAAACAATGCAACATTATCATGGTGGGTCAGGAACTCAAAAGATACTCCTACTGTACCGTTTGCTACCCAAACAACAGAATGCCCGCTTGCTTGTGCGGATGTATATAGTTGGCATCGCTACTAGTAACAAGAACGCTACTAGGTGGGGCATCCTTGTTACTTGTGTGGTTGGACAGGTAAACCCTGTTAGACTTTTTCGTGCCATGTGTTTGGCAGGAGGACTCCAGCTCCCTTGGACGTCGCCTCTTTGTCGCTGGGCATTGTTGTGGTCATGTTTGGGGCTTCAACGGCCACAGAAGCCAATCATGCAAACCGTCGTTTTCCATGGTCCACTGGCGTGTTTTGCTCCATCAAGTATCATGAAGTAAAGGTGGCAAGTTCCTGTCGACAAAGCAAAGAAGTGAACAGCATGTTTGGCTTTCGCACTTACCGATCTGCGTGTCGGAGGTGCCGTTCGGATTGTGACCGCCGAGCTCGAGGGATAGAGCAGCATGTTTGGCCTTTCCGTATAGTCTAACCTACTATAGTAACTATAGTAACCATAGGCTATCATAGGCTCGAAAATGCTTGAAAGGGCTGTCAACGTATAGTGACCCGAGCAACCCTCACGTGTTCAGATGGGTACTAATTTCGTCATGTTTGTTCGAAATTGCCATCAAGGCTGGCTTCTTGGGCTTGGTGCTAATCGCTCGACCTCGGACCACCCATGCGGCCAGCGGCCCGCCTCCACCGGAGACCGGGGAGTTCCGAGCATTTGATGGTCACTTTTACCAGCAGAGAGCAGAGGTAGATTGGTTTTGGGATATTTCGGTGGCAAACGATTCGGCTTTTCGGAGAAAATCTGCATGGGTAGTCCTAGGCTGTTGGGCCATTTTTCGTCGTAGGCATGGCATAGCACAGAGGAGGTCGAGTCACACTCATTTGACAGGAGGATGAGGTCGTGAACGTGATTGATGGAGACACTGCCACTCAAAGATAATTGTAATTACAATGAGTGATTGATTGAAAAGGTTTTCAGGCGGGCTTGTGTTCCATGTTCGGTGAATGCAAGAGTTTGCTGGGGCTTCAATTGTTTCTGCATGACGAATGATGCACGCTCGAGGTGAAACTGGCCTTTGCGGGGCGTTGCCGCCTGATCGGAGTGAATACGCCAGAAACTGTGGCACCCAGGCATCGCCTGGGTTTCGCTTGATCATGAAACAAGAACTGCCCACCTTGGTGCAAGTGCTACTGCAAGTGCTTTGGTTAAGTTTAGGTTGTGGAGCTGGTGTTCCTTTGACAATTGACATTCAGTTGTCATTGAGAGTTTTCACGGTACTGGCAGTTGGTCGAACGACTGACCTAATCCTGATCAATCCTGTATTGCAGACCAAACCATTTTCCCCTCCGAGCCTGCATGATAGCCTACATGTTTGCAAAGCGCTACTGATAGCCTGACATGGACCCAAGAGTTGCATGTGTCGCTGGCTGAGCGGCTGCACCCTCAAGGCAAAAGGCGGGAGAGCCGCCAGATTGCTACGGCCCTGAAGCTTCTGCATTCACTAAGGGCCTGCAACTTGCCAGCCTTCAGAGAGCAGGCAACTGGCGAAAATAAAGGATCGGTTTCAATCAGTCGAAAAGCAATCTGGCATAGAACGTAGTTTGCTTGCTTCATAGATCTGGCGAGGACATTCTGTGTGCTCGATTGACTAAGTTGACATCCCTAAATGCTTGTTATCAAGGGAAACTATCGATTGTCAATTGACGTTGTTTGTTATTTTTTGTTGGAGGCAATCGCTATTTGTTTGGAGGCCATCGTTATTGGGTTCCTTAATGTGTTTTTTATGAGGATATATATATATATATGTGGTTTTCTTTTCGGTTGGAGGCCATCACGTTCAGTTTGCCCAAGGTTCCCTCCTGGTACCAAAGTCAAGGTCGAGCTCGATGCCGAACCTGTAGACAAGTACGGTCGGCAGTTGGTGTACCTGTACAGGCTGGAGTAATCAATCCTTGCGTCCCCACGAATATAGCATCAGAAATGGCACAGGGACCTTTGTTCTCTAAAGGATTCTAAAAGTGACAGATTTTGCAATTGTTTTTGATCTCGTTGGCATGAGGCAACACGGAATTAAACGGAAAGCGCCCGAGCCCATGTGCCATTCCATGGTACAATCAATCTAGCCAGACCGCTGACTGTTGGAATCGCCAACTCATTCAAATCCATTTGAGCCGGGCCAGAGCAAGTAGAAAAGATTCATGTAGTCTCAGCATGCTGCATCACAGGCTAATCTTCATGATAGTCCTACTCTTGCGTTCTGATTGGGTTTCGGTCACCAAAACGCTGCAAACTTCGACATACATCTAATTCTTTTGTGCACAGGGGCAATGAATTCTTGATGTATAGCAGTTTTGACTAACATACTTCCGTAGAGCGTTTACATGGTGTTTTAACATAAAACGGGTGACTTTTCCCACGCCGGGTGACTTGTGACTAATGCTGCGTTTACATGCGGCCGAGTCACTTTCTGCAAAGCCGGGTGACTAAACTCCGACGCTTGTACAAAGCCACTGACTAAACACAGATCAGCGTTGAAACCATAGTATGACATCCACCCATCATGTTTGGATGCCTTGGAGGTCCAAAGACGGACTCTTCTTGAACGCAGAATTGGTCAAGCAGGGTGCAGCACGCCGCTACAAAGTCGCGCCCAATGTGAAGTATGACGCCAAGTTCGTCGAGTTGGACACGGGCGGGTTTTGAGATGCAGCGTTAGTTGTCAACTGTGAGATGACCTGATGACATATCTCGAAAGAATAATATGACTGATGATACGCCTGCGCTCTAATTAATGCAAGTTGGGAGGAGAAAGACGCCAAAGCTGCTGGAAGGGGCCTTTGGGGCGCTTGTGCTGGCAAGTCAACACCATCTGCAGCAGCAGCACCGGCTGCACCCACAGCCTCTGCTGGACCTCCTCAGGCCGACATGTTGATTTGTGCACAATTGTTGACATTGTAGTTGAATCCAGGAAATGGCCTGCTGGCCAAGATGAGCGGGGTTGTTTGCAAGTTTTGTAGATGATTGCTTTCTCAATTACTTGGATGATGCTTCGCGGATTGGCTTGAGAAGACTGCGTCTTCAGCTTCAGCATTGACCAGAACAAGGTAAGCCAAGCTTTGCATCCCAAGGCTTTTGCTTCAGACAGGAGCTACGGTGGCCGAACTACGTGGGTTTGTGATGGTTTGTGTAGTCATAGTTGCACATGGTTCCAGACAGGACTCCAGAACTCTACGATGGGGCCCGTAGGGATGTCCTTGTCAGTTCTTGCCATGGCCCGCGCGGCTCCGACCTTTCGACATCCACCATGAATTTGGTGCTCCTGACAGACAAGGCCGGTTGTGACAATGTGTTTGCACATGTGAGTCTAGACTTCCAGTTTGAGCTGAATATTGAGGCTGAGGGTTGGGCAAGGGATGCCTTTGCTACTGCAGCCAGCTTTTTTTTTCAAGTTGAGAGCACAGATGCAGATGAATCAGGGTCGAGAACCACCTTTCCTGTGCAGCCTAGCCCGTTCGAAGTGACAGTCATATTGCAGGAGCTAGCAGCTTTGAAGGAAGAGCGGGTTCTCCTTTTACCTTCTCAAGATCGACGTTCCCAGCATATCACCACTGTGCTCAAGCCTGGACCGGGTGTCACTTGGTCAAATTGTTTTGAAAGCTAAAATCGCAACACTCCGTACGAAGCTGCCACGAATCTGCTCAGCTCCGGAGCCATTTGAGGCCACCATTCGCATTGGAGTTGTCGGCATTGGCGTGGGGCGAGTCACAGTGAAGGTGTGTGATTCCGGAGAGGTGGGTCGTGGTCATCAATCATGGTTTTGACTCCATGTTCTCGTAAGTGTTATGGCCGAAGCTGGGGAATATAACCCACCTATAAAGATCAGAAAGCACTCCTTGAATCTGTGCAGGTGGAGATCAGCTCAAAGGACTTGGCATTGACAGCCTTGGCTCCTACACCTCATGTGGAGCTACTTTTGGCCATGCCGCGTCCGAAGGCTCAGCCCAAAAGGTCATAGGGAATTGAATGCGGAGAACATACGTTGAGATTTGCCTTCCCAACAGTAAATATGTGATCTAGTTACTAGTTTTATCATATTTGCGGGTTCGAAAATTTGGGCAGCAATGCAAAGCACGAAAGTCAACCAAGTCGGGCAGCAGCAGGTGATGATGCGGCTGTGGTCGGTGCTGGCAGCTTGGCTTGGTAAGAAAACTTGGAAACTGCAAATTGGACACCAATTAGTTTGTGTGAGTCTCTCATCTCTCATCACTAAATTAGCTTCTTGCTGCTAGTAGTAAGGCCAGGAGCCCCTAGTAGCGTCGTTGCTCCAATTAGTTTGTGTGAGTCTCTCATCTCTCACTAAATTACAATACTGCGGATGTTTTGGAAAGGCACAGCTGGGCCTCCGCCGCATTGTGTTGACAAACGCATGGCGTGTGGAGAAGTCTTATTTTTCATCACAGTCAACTGAGCAGAGGAAGCCGCTTGTCTGAACAAACTGCCGGGTGTTTTCAAGCAGCATCCTGCAGCATTGGTCTTGGAGAGCATCAGTGGCTTTAAAGATCTTTAAAGTAATATACGTTCTTTGCATTGAGTTAGTGGGCTTGAGCTCAAAGTAGATCTGCCTTCTTTCACTTGTAGGAGGGTGGAGCGTTTGAGTTTCAGGTATTTGCCCGAGCTCTTGGAGGGCCTTGAACAGGCAAATTTAACAACTGGTCGTGTTTGTTGCTAATTTTCTCGTCGTTGTCGCCGTCGTCGTCCAAGGTAATGTATATATGTCGAACAAGCTGCGTTTATTTGCCTTGCGTTTTGTTCTTTTACTGTAGATCATTTTAGCGTATGAGCCAGCACATCTTGAACTGAAGTCCTGTCCAGGCTGTTTGCACGACACTGCCAGAAGTGCAGATTGAGATGCGGCTGAAGCCCTTTATCGAAGACCAGGTGCAGTCCATATTACAAGCAATCAGCGCTTTCCAATCTTGGTTTCCAACCAAATTTATAGTAGCTTCCTGCGCACCCCCTAAGTTACTAGACTAGACTGTTGGATACGCTTGATGTGTTCATGACCTTGGTTCTTGTTTCTCTCAGGTGGATTTGCTGTTTCCTTCCGATCGCTTCTTGCGGCTATTCTGTCATCCTGGACATGGCATGCGCATCGCCGATGCCGTGGCAGCTGCCAGAAAGGGCTCCTCGAATCCAGCAAAGGCCGTGGTTTTGGCAGTTGGCCCGGAAGGTGGCTGGGTGGACTATGAGGTGGGACTTTTCCGACAGCATGGCTTTATTCAAGTGTCTTTGGGCCGACGCATATTGACCACTGATGTTGCAATTGTGTCACTGGCCTCTTTGACATTAGATGCATTGTTTGCATCCGAACAAGGGCCCCCTGCAACAACATGGAAGACAGGAGCTGACTTGCTTTCTAGGCTGCTGCCTTGCTGCAGCTAGCTGGCGCAAGACTGCCCAAAGCAACAAAGCACCTTAAACCACTCCTTTCGATTTCAACCTTGAACAATCCGAGCTGGCACTCTGCTTTGTTGGCATTTCCAACTTAGAGATGTGATAATTGGCTTCAGTGGCGCGGCGGACCAGCGTCCATAAAGAATAGCCCACCAAACTACGAGAACGGTCAAATGAGGACTTGCAGCATCGGGCCATTGGGCTTGTAGTTGGTTGTGGGATCCTTTGATGTAAAGAAGCTGCAGAAGGCCAAAGTTTCTGGCCGCAGCTCAAGCAGGACCAGACCCACGCCTTGGCATTGTGAAGAGGACAAAATAAGTGTGCCGAGTAGTTGTGTGTGCAAAGAGCCTGTCGAGCCATGTCAAGCCTTGTACTGCTTATGCAGTCAATTGCAGTCGCAAAGTTTGGTGTCGACGCCATTGGTCAAGGACATAAAAAAGAAAACCTGCAAAGATTTTGCAAGCTACGAGGAAGCCAAGGCCTTGAGCTGGAAAGCAGCCTGAAGAAAAGCATCAAGCAAAGATGTTCAATACAAAATAAGAACATATAAGAACTGATGCCCCCTGCTTCAAGATGTTCAACCCTACGACAGGAGTTTCATGAAGGCCAAAATCTGCCAGAGAGGGTTGTCCAAAGCGTTTCTCCAAGAGGCTTGGTTTGATCAGTACTTCCCTCAGTACGGCGACTTCGCTGGCTTGGATGGCGACAAGGATGGCAAGCCTTGCGAAAGGCTTTTGAAAGCTAAGTGATGAACTGAGCTTCGCAAGAGATGTTTGAATAGATTAATAGATTCATTCGGTGGCCTTTTTGCCACCCCTGCTATAGAGACTGCCAATTCTGTGCACTCATTTACTTCTGCCGCTTGCCTCATAGGCCATGGCAGGGCAACACCCACTGACGCAACGACATGCGAAAAATTTGGTCCTTGGTTTGATTGAGAACCAAACCAGGCGACATGAACATGCCTGGAGGGAAAGCAAGTGGTGTCGTGTGACTGGTTTCCTAAGTAGCCTCCATGGTTTTCCCATATATGTTTGCTTGTTCTTCCTGATTTAACATACTTCCAGATGTTCTTCAGCTGGTTGTTTTGAATTCCCAATCCAATAATATCCCATATGTTCTATGTTTTTTCCGGTACCAGGTGCCCCCCCAATGCAAAGACAGGCAGGTCTACACCTGGAAGGCATTGCCACTGAACGAATTGCAACTTTGGCAGCACTGGCCAAGATGGCATGAACAAACAGCCCTAAAAACATCGAGATTCGTGGGACGATGAATCGAACAAATAAAATTTGAACAATGTGTTGTGGCATGTTTTTGGTGATGTGTCAGCCTATGCCACAGTGTTGGTGTCTCAGTTTTTCGCCAGGCGAGGTGAATGCCACAAGCAGGGCATTTCACATCATTTGGACATGGAGCCAATGGCCAAGCTGCAGCTTCCAAGACATCTGAATGTTTTTTATGGTTTCTAGCATTGGGTTATTGGGTGAAAATGAAGGCAGGCAAACGTATGCGAGAGCTGCCTTGGCTTCGCCTAGGCGGCCAGAGGAGGAGAAGCATCAGGAACTGCTGGAACGTTTGCTCTTGAGGTCTTTGGTCAGTTTTCCTCCCGTTTTCGACTTGGATTAAAGCTCGAGAGAGACACGACGTCAAGCAGGTGGGCGGATCGATGGAAAGAAGATGGCGTCCCATTGCATCGGTTCAGCAATCTGCGTGTGGCAGCTCAGGGCAAGTGTCGTGTTGGTGACATCCGGCTACCGGCTACTAACTCAATCTGGCTCACGTGTTCATGGACCACACATCTTTCATGGACCTCGAATTCGGTTTGAGTGGAGCGGAGGTTCAGCCAAGCACTTTGCAGAGAGAGTGGTGCAAATTGTTTGGGGCCTTAGCAGCGCAGTTTTGCGCCCTTCCACAAACCCTCGCATTGCATGCATGCTCACCACCCACAAAAAGTCAGGTTTCCCGTGAGACCGGCTTGCAACACGAGCATCGAGCCAAGAATATCACCGATTTGGTTTGTTGTCAAAGTTGTGTTTCTGGAACTTTTGTGCCAAGTTATTTTTTCTTGAGGCTGGCAGCTGCTCGCCCCTGAGATACTTCTTGAATGCTTCAAGATTGGAAACGGAATTCAGCAGAACACCATCGAAGATGAATTGAAGACGAATTCGGATGAGGCATCCGGATTGCCGCAAGACGCCTTTGGCTCTTTGGGAAAGCAGGAGAAGCTGCTTGCATTTTCTGTATTAATTAATAGGTGCTGGCAAGAAGTAGCCAGACTTGCCAAGCAGCCAACCAACAACGTGGGCAATGTTTGGTTCATATTGTACGTGGGGGGGCAGGGCAGGCCAACAAATGCAAACTTATGCAAAAATTGCCATTTTGATGAATGTCGATTTTCCAGTGCGCACGGCAAGGAGTTGATTGAGCATCTGAAAAAGGTGTTGTTGTGGAAGGACTGCATGCTGCAAGAAGTGCGACAAGAGAAGGGGCAATGTTTTGATTGGATGTTTGGTCTTGCATGGTCTTGCCGTGAAGGAGTTGTCCGTGGATGAACTCAGAGAAGAATGTATGCAACGGTCTTTGTCTTGGAGGGCTGAGGCACCGTGGAACCACGTACTTGCTCTGAAAACATGATTGGTTGGAAACAAAACCAATGTTTCTTTGCAGTTTGTAGTGGTTTCATGTTGTTTCTCTTTTGAGGATGAACATTTCAATGGATGGGTACAAACCAACTCTGTTTCCGCTGTAAATTGGAGGCTGCCCACGAGCGGCAAGAGTTGTTGGAACGATTGGCCCGCCTCTGAAAGGTTGAAAAACGACGTTCGAACGATTTTGCAAAGTTGGAAGTGTCAGACGCAAGAAAGTAGCAACCTTAGGTGGCATAGCCAGCCTAGGTTTGTTAAAGCATACTAAGAAGAAGAGTGCAACATATGTCCAAGACCTGAAGTTATCTTGCAACGAGCATAGTAGCTGCTAGCATCCTTGTTCATGTAAGCAAGAGGGTAAACCATTCAGTTCAGCCATCAAACATTCGAAAACCTAAATTGAAACAAATTGATCCAAATTGTTTCGCTTGTGGTGACCTTGACACGGTTTGTTAGTTGGACAAAAACTTTGCGAAGCTAAACTTAAAATAGGATCAGTATTGCACCACTTTTCTTTCGCTGAATCAGGTCATGGCCTGCTGTGCGCAGGCTGTCGGCTGTATGATCCGAGTTTTGCAGGTTGGTTTCCGACTCAAAATGAATTACGATGGTTCAGAATTTGTAAAAATATGCTGTATTAAATTTAAATCGGTCTAGCTGCCTAGCTCCACCACATTCGCACAAGAAAGTAAACCCCATGACCACCCCGACCCAGTTCTTTGAGAAGTGATTTGGCACAGACCACAGATGCTAATGATTAAAAGTTCATCACTCAGTTTCTTAGCTCAAAAAAGCAGGCAATGGGCAAGGTAACAAACTATGAGCATGATTCGAAGCATATTTTAACATATTTTAACATAGCATGTGTGATGTGTGATAGCTACAGACGGCTACGGAGGATTGACAGGCAGCTGTATATACATATGTAGAGAGAGAGAGAGCTAGCCACAACATCCAAAACAAATTGAGAGGCGCAAGAGCGCTTGATGCACCGTTCACAACTTGGTCAAGAGACCAGCAACCAGGTTGTTTGGTTTATTCAATATGACACCCTCTATCAATACAATGACATTGACATACATTGACCACTATTTCGGCTTTTCAGGTGTTCATCAGTCTTCATCCGTTGTTCGATGCACTTGAATCTGATCCGCTGTTAAAGTTCTTCCACGACTGAGTCAGAAGCACTCCTAGCCCTTTGCTGTCACAAAGCAAACATTAAAAAGACTGGCGTCGCTGTGTGCGACATGCGTCAGTGCCATGGCAAACTCTCCTCGCATGGTACTCAGGCCTGAAACTGGGACGCTTGCAGGGGCATGAATCCTTTGTAGAGGTCCCAAAACAGACAGGGTCAATTCTAAATGTAAATGTCGATTGTACTCAGCATGCTTCATCAATCAGTTGGTTTGAACTCGCTTCGCCCACCCAATAATATCACATGTTTGAGTTTGTGGGACTTGTGAATTTTGGTCAGACATTTCCAAACGAAACAGCCGATTGTTCTACAAGGACAAGAAACTACCACAACGTCTCCTGAGCAGTACGATGCTTCCCTAGATTGTATGTTTCGTTTGGTTTCAGTTATTCCTCGTTTCTTCAACATCTTGGAATAAGATGTGTTTTGATATGCTTGGATGGATTTTACCGATCTTTTGGGTGGAACAGCTTTAACCTCAGAGAAGCAAGGTGTTTGTTGCACAACTGTTGTGGCCTTCGCAGATGAGCACGTGGTTGGGCAGGTACTATTTAAGGGTATGCCTATTCTTTCCAATGCCGGGATATGCTGCCATTTTCTGGACAGACAGCAACTGGGCGAGAGTAAGCTGAAGCGCTTGTCACTCATCACGATTGATGCCAGTGGTGTGTAAAACGGTGCACATGTTTGTCTAACATTGTCTAAAACATTGCCTAACAAGGGGCTTCTAGATCATGCAAGGCAGAAGGTTGACACCACCTCTGAGTGGCAACACAAACCAGCAAGTTTTCGACGTATCAAATCATCCTGACCATTCAGTTTCAGTTTTGCATCAGTCTTGATGGCTTTACAACTATGTTGGCCACGTCAGGTTACTTGTTGATCAGCCTCACCCTCATATCATTGTTAGCAATTCCGCTGCATCTTTTCTGGATGAGGCACTATTTGTGCAAATTCAATGGAAGTCTTGGGCATTGGGTCTGTGAGAGTGTGTCCAAGTGTTTTGCATGTTGTGCCAAACTATAAGTTTGTCTTACAGGTTGTCAGCTTTGGTGATCATTTTTGTTCCAGTCAAATGCACCCAAGCGCTTCCAAGCAACAGCCCAAGGAACCTCGACGAACATTTTTGGCGCCTGTGAAAGTTGTGCCAGGAAGCGATACGGTCCGTTTCTGGCATTCCTGACCTGTGTCTATGCTTTCCAAGTGGTATCGGCCTGAAAGCCTTCACAATTGTTCGATTTGCTTCCTGTAAATCTGTCACAAACGTTTGTCAGATTTGTAGGAACAGTATGAATTCAATTGAATTCATATGATGGAGTTTTTCTGAAAAGGCAAAAAGTCAATAAGTTGTGAAAAAGTGAAAAGGGCAAGTTGTGGAGTTCGGCAACAAGCCCTTTGTGCAAAGCAACACCTCTGAGATGATTTGCATTGGAGCATCTCAGCTTCGCATGGCCGCGCACCACACAGAGGAGGCTGTCAAGCCAGGCCAGATGATCGCCCATTAGAGCAATGGCTCAGACGAACAGATCCACATATTATATCACAATAGTAAGTGTAAACATTGTGTAACATGTATAAACCGTGTCTTCTTGTATCAGCAAACGGCTGAACCGCTTGCAGTCCATTGTAGCATTGCTGCATGATGTCGCACGATCGCCTCAGATACTCCTGTGGAGACCATCTCGGTTGTGATCACTGCACACAATGAGCATCAGTACCTCAAGTCCCTCGGCAACAAACCTGTGAAAAGCACTGTCAAAAACAATGAACTTTGGAGAGATATTGAATGTTTATATACACAACTGCGTGAGACTTGACGAGCCTAGGATCTTCAGTACTGCTGTCATTTTACAAGAGTCTGATTAGACTAGGCCCTAGGCATGCCTAGGCAACCGATTCCGAATGATCAATGAGGATCAAAGATTCTGAGGCGAACAATAGACTCTATCCTACAGACCACACCGCCCGAGATTCTGGTGACTTGGCCCAATACGGCACCTGGCTTTTTCCATGTGTGTGGTGCTGGTTGCCTTCGCCTCCAAGGATCAACCGAATTCAATTGTTTTGTGAGTTTTATTACCTCATTCATACTCCTTTTCTCAGTATGGTCAACAAGCAAATCTTGGCAGTGGTTTGAACAGTACCAAGTTAGAGATCATTGTGATTGATGATGGTAGCCAACCTCCTTTGGAGCCGGGCTTCGAGCAAGTGCATTTGCCAAGCTCTCAGTGGTTTGGACAAGGGTCGATGGGTTGTTTAGTTTGCAGATTCGGTTCAGTCCAGAGTCTTCAGCCTATAGATTTGTTAGGAACTGAGCAGGGCAAGAACATTGATAATGGCGTCACAGCCTCTAAGTGCATCATACAATCATATTGTACCATTGCCATACTAGTATGTACTAATATCAGTTCCTGTTTTATCATGCCCATCCAGAGTGAGCCGCCATCCAATGCCTCAACGTTCTGCTTTTCAATGATACATCCTTGCCCCAGCTTCTTGTTTAGACCGTTTAATCCAGCTGTTGCTGGTGACCAGGTAAATTCAGGGGGCCATTCTATGGCAGTTGTGTTTCTTCTTATGTTTTAAGTAGATTGTAAAACCAACATACGATCTATATGTGCATTTTGGAATCACATGTCCTTGTGCACTTGTGCACGTTCTTCGCAAATGATTGATTGAATGCCACCTAAAACAACGGTAACGGTGCCATGTTCTTCCCAGGCTTCGCCATGAAGAACGGCGCGGGCTTACAAAGCTTCCTGGATGGCATTCGATGTCGATTGTGTTTGCTTGAGTAATGGTGAGTTTCAATGTTGAGTAGGGGTGAGGAATGATTGTGTGGAGACGGAACACTTTAGAGTCTTTAGATGTGGAAAACTGATGGAAACTGCGTTATTTGCGGGTTGCTCAAAGGTCCAAAATGGAAGGCGGCAACATGGCACGCGGTGACATGTCTCTTGCCTGCCATTAAATATCATGAAATGCAGTCAAAATGGCGGGGCTCACAAATTGCAAAGTAGCTTTAAAAAAGGGCATGCAGGCAACTTTAGTGTGTTTGTTTTCAATTGACTTAGATGTGTTGGAGAAAGTGTGGGAAGCAGTAGCAACGTTTAGCAGCTGCTGTCCTGTGAGGATAATGTTCTTGGATGCTCATGTGCCATGGCAAAAGGTCAGCTGGGAGTGGGGCAGAGATGTTCACATTGTCTTGCTGATTTACAGGTTACGTGTTTGAAGAGTCTCGAGCAATTGCAGACAGTTGTGCAACGTTGGACGTCTCAACTCGCTCGGAATTGCGCTGGGGTAGCGGGTAGTTAAAGACTTGCATGAACATTGTTGTGTTCGTTAAAGAAAACTGTTGGTACTTCCATGTGAGCAGTGGTCAACAGTTGAATATATTAATTAGTAATATATATATAATTAAATTCTTTTTGTTACTAGTAGTAAGGCACTTGTTTCTAGTAGCTTCTTGTTACTACTAGTAAGGCACTTGTTACTAGTAGCGATGCACTTGTTCCTAGTATATATATAGTTAGTGGTAGTTTGAAAGTTTGTGCTACCGGCATCAGTAGTGACCCCAGCAAATCCGACTAGTTTTGGTGGTTGGGGGGATTTTTGGTGGTGGTGGCGACAATCCGACCAGGTTGAAGATAGGGGCGTCTTGTGGGGGGCTGAGATAAATTAAGGATGGGAGCACATATCATCGACAGAGTTTCGGGCCAGATATGTTGAGTGTGCTTCGAGACTCGATCCTAAAGTGATGGAGTACAGGCTGAGCCACCATGTTCAAGGTCTAACACAATGTTCCACTGTCCTTGATGTAAATTGGGCCCATAAAGGGTTTAAAAAAAAAAAAAAAAAAAAAACATAAGAATGATTCCCATGCTACACTGTCGCGAGATTTCCATGGCTTTCCCCAGTAAATCCATCAGTCTATATGTCCAAATTTTGTGGGTCCTTAAGACAGTAGACAGATTTTGACAGAATCAACGCCCCTTTTGACAGTGCTTGAAGGTGTTGCTCCCCTCTCCTGCTGTCCTAGTCAAATGGAATTTGCATCCTTGCCAGGGTGTCGCTTCTGACTCCTGACACGAGTCCTTTGTTTTCCTGACCTCTGAGGTAAAGCCCCACAATGGCAGCATGGCCGCAAGAAGAAAGGAACTGAATTGATTAGTCAAGCAGGTCGCTTTGAAAGAATCGGTGACGGTGGGCTTGTGGCGAGAATTTGCTGGCAAGAGTTTGATGCTGTTTGGCTGGTTCAGTACTAGTCATGACGTACTGCTTCAGTACTGAGTGCTGCACCCAGGCTGGTACAAAGCTCTTCTGAGCAACTAAGATGCACTTCGGTGGAGCAAACCACTGAATTGAGGGGCCATGCCACTGATCAGGTCATGGGTTCGACTTCAAAGCTGCAATAGATGCAAGGTGTTGGTCGTACGAGTGCAAAGACCGGTTGCGGTTTGCTCGTGGTGCCGTGGTGCTCACTTTTCCCAAGGGCACGTGAATATCAACTACAAACGAGTGGTCGTGCTCCAGCTGCAGACGTGGATTTGTCATGTTGTTAGCTTGGTTTTGTTCATTTGGAATATTGATTGAAATTTGAATGATCATTTTGGGGTGGCTTTCAAACATCAATTGATGGTTTGTGGCATACAAAGAACCTTCTTCTTTGGGGGGCATGTTGCTAAAGTTTTTAGGTGCCTTTGATCCCGATCTTGGATGGTGACACATGGAAGACCAACAACATGGCGGTCGGCGTTTCGAGCTGAGCACTTCTAATTCCAAACATTTTGCACATATGTCTAACTGAAATAGATACTGTATGCCACGCCAAGGACCACGATTTTGCTTTTGTGGGAATGAAGCACCCAAAAAACATAGACAGATGCATGTTTGTTTCAGGCGCCTCAAAGTTAAAGTAAAGTTCAAAGGGGCTTGAATCAGTGCTTGAACTTAGACACGCCTAGACTGCTTGACTAAGATGGGGGTGCATTTCTAAGGAGACAGACGTCATGTTTTGCTTTCATTTGCACTCAACTTTAAAGTTGAGACCGAAAGATTTCAGAACGGAGGTTAAGATGATGTTTGATTGGAAACTCCATTTCACCTGGCTGGACGATGGAACCGACTTGGTGCCTTGCATGAGTGGAGGCCTCTTCGGAATTACGTGGCTTGGCCGCACATGCAACATGCGAAAAAAAGAACTGAACCCCAAGAGGCTGAATGCCCTGCAAAGCAAGAGTGAAGGTTTTGTTCATTTCGACAGGCAGAAAATCGCAACCAGTTCCGACAATGTCCATTGACTTTCAATGACTTTCACTACAGTACCTGTAAGATGGTATACTGTATGTTCCCTACAGAAATGTTGTGTACCTCATGGTCGACAACCGTTTTCTCGTGATATGACTGGACGTTTTTGGAGACTCAGGAAGCGTTGGTGGCATGAGTCTGGCGAGTCGGGGCTCTCAGACTCAAGGAACTGGGCATTCAAGCCAAGCATGGCTGGGTTGGATACTTTGGTGGCTCAATTTAGAGATGGTGGCTTGGAATATCCTCAGATTTTGCAGAGTAACACTCAGGTACGACTATGGGATGAATATGTGGGGCGCGGAAAACATTGAGCAGTCGATTCGCATCTGGCTTTGTGGTGGTGAGATCTTTGTCGCAAGCAGCTTGGCTTTTCTTGGTTCTGACAGGAAGGCTATGCTGAATGTGAGACATGCACGAGGTTTTGTGACTTGAACCTTTTTGTCTCAAGCAGCAAACATGCAGGCTATCATATGCTATCAAATGATGCAGAGAGAGAGAGAGAGATTGTGTAGCTACAAAGCTTGCGGTATGCCCACATGTCAGGAGACTCGCGTATAGCCCATGTCTTTCGAAGTGAATTTCCCTATGCCATCAACAAGACTGAATCTTGGATGGAAATTACAGATGATACACAGTAGATGTGGCCATACTTTCAGTCACTGCGAGAGGGTCTTTTTGCCAACCAAGGAGGTCATAGTCAACAAGGCCGCACTGGGTCAAGTGTGGACGGCTTCAAAATGTCATTTGCTACGACCATATCGTTCGATCTGAAACTCTTTAGACTCCTGAGAGATTTGAGAACAGAAGGCTTAGACTTGCCAGCACACAAAGCGATATTAAGCGCTTGCTCAGTGTATATGTTTGTGTTACAGTACTCCAATGCCATTCCTAGGTGAGAGCAGTGGAGGCCTGGTTCGATCAATACAAGGCCAGAAATGGGAGTTCGGGCATTTGGAGAAGTGTATTTGAGCCACACGCTCAGAGCAAATCACGAAAGGTAGCCTGGTAATGGGTACCTTGAGATTGCTTTGCGAAGCAAAGGGGTAGCTTGAACAGCCTGCTCCGGACCAAACATTGATATATCAATTCTATTGGCCCCCCCTCCCCCACTTCCATAGTGATGAATCATTGATACAGTAAATCAATCATCTGGTGACCCCCACCCCTCCTCGGTTGTGCAACATGGCTTTTGAACAATACATGCACATTTGCAGTCTTTACAAAGCGCGTGCAGCTCTGTGACCACAGCTCTGACACATGCCAGCGTTTAGCCCTAATTTTCACGCAGGCCAGCGTTCACACACCACTAGCTCTACGCAAGCGAGCGTTGACGCAACACAGCCTCTACGCAAAGCCGTGTTGACAAACCTCACCACACCACATGCTGTAGCAACCTCTCCGTTGTGCGGAGCATGCATGTGACATACGTCATACGACCGCATTTGCGCAGCACAGGCTTGGCACCAGGCAGTCTTTAAAAGCCACGGCTGCTACACAGCTTTGTTGCGTTTAGATACTGCAGTTTTCATATTCCTGGTGACTCTCTACCTTTCGTGCTTCTCTTTATGGAGTTGATGCAGCGTTGCTTCCATATCTGACAACGGGACATGAGGCGCCTCAAAGGGATGAAGATGTGACTCACTTATTATGTAGACCACTCATTAAGTTAGACCACTCATTAAGTCCAATGCCGTGTTCTCAGGTATTTTTTTGCCATTACCAAAATCAAAGGCACACAAAAAAGCTAAAAGTAAGAATAGAAGAAAAAAGTATACATGATTATATACTAGTATATATACAATTATAAGTGCATACAAATAAAGCACACACAAAGATTACACTTATGTTTTTTTCGAGATCCAAGAGCCCCTTGCAAAGGCATATTTTTATCATGCTGAGCCTGCAGCGAAACAGTTGCCTGGCAAATCGTGTGGACCTTTGAAGCATGGAAAGAGGTTGCCAGACCAGGCACGTAGTCGTAGGTATTCAACTTAGACACGAGACGTCCTGTTGCCTCGGATTGAGAAAATGTTGGATTCACCCACATGGAAGGCCCTAGGCTTGAGGGAACTTGACAGCAAAGAGTGCTTGGCTTAGCTACTTTGGATGCTTTAGGATGCTTTTCTCAGGTTCCTGCCTGCAATGGGTACCTTAGCAGAGATTGAGATCGGTCTTGCCAGCGGCCTCCGGATGCCTCTTCGAAGTCACAGTTCGGAACAGCAATGCGGAACTCAATCTGTGTGGTTCCCTGTGAATCAGCCTGGCAGAACAATGTTTGCGATTTGAGTCAAAACGTTGGCACCATAGGACCACTGGATTAGGCGATCTTCTGCAGGCGTCAGTTGACTGGGCGGAAATACTACTTGGTACAGTAGTGGAGGGGACCTGAAGTTTCCTTTAGCTCTTATTATATTCAATATGTGTATGATGCTTTGGCCTTGTTTGTTTTCAAAAGAGTTCAGTTCAATTGCTGTAGAGGTTCAGAAAGCCTGTTCAGACGCAGATCCTGCTTGTTTTGGTGGCCTGCTTCACAGCCATTTCATCAGACCCGAGTCTAGCATACAGGACTTGCTTGGGTTTCGGAGTTTGACTTCTGGATGATTTGTACATTGCAGAAACTATGACGCACTTGCAAAGGCAACATCGATGACCGCCTAGCTCTAAAGGAAAGGCTTCAATGCTGCTCGGCCTCCTTTGGGTGCCTTCAAACGTGTTCAATCTGAAATGTCATAAGAATAATACCCAAGAAAATCAAAGAAGTCATGAGTTGCAAATGGGGGAGCTTAGGTAAGCCCTTTAGCTGGTACGTGGACAAGTTCCACAAGGCTGGCTGATAAACAAGTTGTCACCAGTCAGCTTGCACATTTCATTGCCAACAGTGTTTGCACAAGGTGTCACTGCAGACTACACATGGACGATGCGTTTGCCTACGGAAAACATACTGTCTAGAGACATGGTTTCCTCAAAGAAGAAGGGATTGTAAACAGGGAATTTGCAGAAGCAATACCCCAGCAAACTGATTTGGCTGTCCAACTGTTTGGTTGCCCAAAGATGCTTCAAGCAAGCTCTACTGCTGTTCCTAAACTTCCCCCGGTGCAATGCGATGGCCTTTGTTCTAGGTCTTCGAGAGAAAGGGCATGGTGCCCCGACAGAGCTTTCAGATCCGCGACGAGCACACAGGTGAGTTGGACGTTCACATCGACGTTTGCTTTTTCAGGTTTGCTTGGTTGTGTTCAGATACCGTCACGTGTTGCAAAAGTTGTGATGTAGAGACTTGATGCAGAATTTCAGCTTCAAAATCAAGCTGCTATTTTGGGCGTGGCAGACACAAGTTCCTTTTCTATCAGGTCGGTGATACATCAAAAGCATTTTGTGGACCTCCTATCCCACCATTCTCCCGGCACCGCTCAGGTTTTTGCCTGGAGACAACGTCGAACGGGGATGGGTTGCAAGAGGTGGGGCGGTGGGATGGAAGCACCGACGGAAGCACTGACGGAATTTCTTCGAGATAGCATTCAAAGGAGTGCTGATTAGCTGATTCCTGAACAGCCATTGTGGGAAGAGAAGACGACGTGGTGTGAATAATTCTGTTTCGCTTCTTAACTATTGCACGGCTAATATAACAAACGGTTCTATTCACCCTGCTCAGGTTCAGTGCAACATCGATGATGTGTCGCAAAGGTTTTCTCACAGCGGCATGACGCTGAAGAGTCTTTGCCAGAATCCAGGGGCACAGAGTGTGAAGCAACATTGTGACGTGCTTGTTTCGCTAATGCCTTGCTGGGAACTCAAGGAAGGGGAGATGTAGCCAACAATACAGATCAGGCGATCAGTGATAGTGATCGTATTCTCAGTTCAACTCTAGGCGTGTCCTTTTGGGGGCAGCCGTGTTTTTTTCCAAGCAGCACATGTTTTTCAAGATCCGGTCATGCGAAGGAGTGGGTGAAATATAGTTCTCCTGTTCTGAGAAAGTCTCGCTTCGAGCATGTTCCTCTTTGCATTCTCCCCGACAAGGAGCTTGCAATCTGATTTGTGCTTGGATGCGGATTCAGAACATAAGAAGAAGGCGAGCTTGCCTTCCTGCAGTGTGTGAGGGCCGGTGAAAGAAAGAATCAGATGGAGGTGCCCCAAAGTATGATACCATATGATAGCATGCCGTGAGGTTGACAAGTCAGGCAGGTAAGCACAATAGACACAAGGAAGATTTTGTGTCGCCTTTTTGTGGGGATGATTGATTGCACCTTTATCACATTCTCTTGCGCTCAGCCACACGTTTCTTTCAATATGTGGGCGGTTCCCTTGATTGGAAGTAAAAGCAATGTCCAATAAACGCTGTGACTTGAGTCAGATTATGACTTTTTTGCTAAGGTTCCTTGCCTTCCCGTGAGTTTCATGCTTTCCGTAGGTCGGAATTGCGGCAAAGCTAGCCCCTTGCTTGAAGAGGCCAAAGCTTTATGCTCCCATACGCTGTATTGCATCAAGAAAGGTTTCAATCGTATAGGGGATTCCTCTTACACAAGATAGAACAGGTATTCCGTTAAGGTATTCCTAGAAACGTGTGTATTGATGACATCTTACATGTTTTTTTGTGTATGTGATTCGATCATTTGTTTAATGACATTGTATGCCTTTGTCGCATATGTTGTTGAGATGGGGAGTGTCCAGGAGCTCCATGCAGTCTTGGAAGCGCCTTGGCATTTACCAAGCTAAACAAGAGAGCTTGTGATGATTGTGATGGTTTTCTTTACTGGAATGGACTGTTCGTGTTTTCTTGATCTGCACAAGGTTTGTGAAGGGCTACATTCGCTTCGGACGCATTTGCTTGGAAAGCAAGGCAGAAGGCGCAGACATGGGTGCCCCATGGTGCCCGACAGGTTTTCAACAGAAGCACGCTTCAGCTTGTCGAAAAAAATGCTTGTTTCTCCTCTCACCCCAGTTTCACATGCTCATAATAGCATGACATGGCCCCTACAAACATTATTGAAGGCTGTTCAGCCATAATGGTTGCTTGATATTATGTTTGGCATGCATAGAGTCAGATTTCGTCTCTTAGCCTCAGGCCCACTGCTGCTTAAAGCGTGTGGACACCTGAAGAAAGGCCTCAGATGCATGGAGAGATTGAGCAGGTTCCAATGCTGGAGGAATTGTTTGATGGGTTTGACCAGTATGTTTGTGTTGGGACAAGTGTTTGAGTGGTTTGGTGAGCACAATGGCACGTGCTATGAGTCTTTGCTGGATCTACCTGGAATCTACCTGTTGCCCCAACCCTTTCTTTTGTTTGTGTCTTTGGAATTTTTGTGGCCCCAACCTTCAAATCTAGAATAGTCTATCTAGGATCTTTCGGCTAGAGCCTCGAGCAGGTGACGGGCCATTCAGGCTCATCAACCACCAGGCGCTTGCAGTGCCATCAGGTTTGGTATTGTGTCATATATCGCGAGGCCATTGCTACTAGGTTGGAGGCCATCGCTGGTAGGCTGGGGACCATCGCCATTGGGTTGGAGGCCATCGCTATTAGATGCTATTAGGCTAGAGGCCATCGCTAGTAGGTTGGAAGCCATCACGAGTAGGTTGGAGGCCATCGCCATTAGGTTGGAGGCCATCGCTAGTAGGCCGGAGGCCATCGCTAGTGGGTTGGAGGCCATTGCTATTGGTTGGAGGCCATTGCCACTAGATTGGAGGCCGTTGCTATTAGGTAGGCCATCACCATTGGGTTGGAGGCCATTGCTATTAGGTTGGAGGCCATCGCTAGTTGGTTGGAGGACATAGCTATGGTTGGAGGCCATCGCTAGTGGGTTGGAAGCCATCGCTAGTAGATTGGAGGCATCGCTATTAGGTTGGAGGCCATTGCTATTTAGGTTGGAGGCCATCGCCATTGGGTTGACGGCGGCCATTACTATTAGGTTGGAGGCCATTGCCAGTAGGTTGCAGGCCGTTGCTATTAGGTTGGAGGCCATCGCTAGTAGGTTGGAGGCCATTGCTATTAGGTTGGAGGCCATCGCTACTAGGTTGGAGGACATCGCCATGGTTGGAGGCCATCGCTAGTAGGTTGGAAGCCATCGCTAGTAGATTGGAGGCCATCGCCATTAGGTTGGAGGCCATTACTATTAGGTTGGAGGCCATTGCCATTAGGTTGCAGGCCGTTGCTTTTGGGTTGGAAGCCATCGCTAGTAGATTGGAGGCCATTGCCATTAGGTTGCAGGCCGTTGCTATTGGGTTGGAGGCCATTGCTAGTAAGTTGGAGGCCATCGCCATTAGGTTGGAGGCCATTGCTATTAGGTTGGAGGCCATCTCTAGTAGCTTTTGGGAAGGTTGCATGTCGCATACAACTGACGGTGCACTATATTGCACTATGGTATGCCACTAGCGAAAGAAGTGGTCGTCGTTTACATTTTTTTCGTCAATTTTTTTTGATGCGGTCAGGTACTACCACCAGAGACGACCCAAGGCTGGAGCAAGAGTCATTTTGCAAATGACTCCAACTTCACATGTTTTTAATGGGTTTGGTTTGTTCTGTTACAAAAGTGTACAAAAGTCACATTTTATGGGATGTGTTTTGTGGCAAAAGGTAGTACTTACCGCATGAGCTGATGTGCAGCGGAACCAAAGTCAAACTCTTCTCAAAGCTAAACGAAGTTGGCGTTCAGAGCAAGCCAAAAGCGGAGGTCCCGCAGAACTGAAGAACTCAGGCACTGAATGGTGAGACTCGTTCTGAGAGCAGACCACCCAGCACGAGAGCAGAGATGCCTCTAACCAGCAGGGAGATCAGTTTGCCAAGCCAACAAAAAGGTGCGAGTTGAGCGCTATATGCCCCTATGAGTCACTTGGGTTCTGTGGTGCCAAACTTCTAGCCCTCAGAAAGAAGTTCTATCGTATTATATTGTTCTAATCATCAAGGATGGGTCTTGTAAATAGCAACTGATGTGGAAGTCGTCAGATATGCGAATAGGTTCTCGTGCCAGAGACACTGGCATTTTGCGAGGCTTGGGAAGCTCAGGGTTTGCCAGTGAAGAGGTGCCCAGATTTGGGGCATGGCCTTGCTAAGATTGGAGAGTTGCCTCGTTGTAGATATCACGAAAGGTAGCATCAGCTAGCTGGAGGTGCTCTTTCTTTAGCAGTTGCCGGAATTGCCTACCACGTGAATTGAACGCAGCTTTGGGCCCTCCTTTCCCTTTTTGCCCTGCCTTCCTCGCCTGGCCCTGCTAGCTTTCGTCACCAATCCTGGCCTCAAGTTCATGCATCGTTCCTGACTGATTCATGGTTGATTAAGGTCTATTCAGGCAAGGTGAAGAGATTACAGTCCACAAAACCTTTAGGACCAGTCACTAGAGTTGAAGCTCTCATGTGTGCTCAGCCCCTAGTGGCCCTCAGGCTGGGCAGTGCCAAAGGTGCACAGCAATTGCTCCAGAGATGGCATGAGCTTGAAGAACTTGGTGCAGAGGAGACACAGTGGTGTGAGGATGAGATGCAGCAGGGCTATCATGTGGTCAAATTGACCTTTGCCTGGAAATTGCCATGTTTTAGCAACGTCCAGCAAATCGTAGAAGCATATCACGTGTACTCACAGTATCTCGCACTGCTGAACCGAGTCCTCTTCGCAAAGCAACCTGAAAGGTGTTCCAATTTGATATAATGGGTGTATGTGTGTAATTATGTTATATTAATTATATTGTTATATTATATATATATGCACGCATTTCGATGCCGGTTCTTCACCAGAGTTCCAGTTTCCAGAAATCTTATTCAAAATAGTAAGTCACTTGTTCCTAGTAGCTTCTTGTTACTACTAGTAAGGCACTTGTTACTAGAAGCGATGCACTTGTTCCTAATGTCAAAATATCATGGGCGTGATCGACAGTGCTTTGCTGCCCAAGCGTCCCATCCTGTGGCCGAGCGACCCGGCGATGGCAGGGAGGCCAAGCTTGATCACAGCCCCCTGCTTATGGTCTGGGAAACATGGAAAACCGTGACTTGATGGACTCGGAGTTCGAGTGATGTTCATCGAGTCACTGACATTCCAAAGGTCTCTCATGCCCACTAGACGCTCTACATTGACCTGTGCTTCTATGCAAGGGTTTGTTTTAGTCACCTTCCTAGTCTCAAGAACTTGGGATTTTTCCAAAGCTGTTTGTGTTCATGTATAGAATTATAGAATAGAACGAATGCAAGAAGCCCGACCTCCTTGCTGCTTTCGACTAGGTTGCGCAAATTTTATTGCATGTCGTCCTGGCTCAAGTAGCTGTGAAGCAAAGTCTTTTTCACAGCATTTGCCCTTTTCGCTCTCTTTGCTGCCCACGTCAGTTCCATGGAAGCAAAGTCAGGTGGTTTTGATGTTGACTCGCCACTGCTCATGCTTACTCTATTTTGAACACATTGGGGCATGCTTGGCAACACTGCTTGGAAATAGTGAGTGCGTTGTAATTACATGTTATTACTACTAATATGAGTTTTGATATTATGTACAGTATTGCGGCCCCCTCAAGCGTTCACGTTTTGTTTACAAATGTCATCAACTACCCTTTTGTTTGGGTGTTATCATTTGGGTGAATCCAAGACCTACAGTCTGTAAGAGGGTTTCAAGGCTTGTCGGAAATTACTTTTGCGGAAATTCGGAAATTCTTTTAGCGGAAATTCGGAAATTAACAATTTCTGAGTTTCTGAAGAACTTTACTTTTTTAGATCATGTGTGGTCTTGCATCCAGAGACAAGCTGATTGAGAAAGGACCTGTGAATGCCAAGCTGCCAAGGCAAGCAAATGTCGACGCTCGAGCTGGGCCGTGTACACATGACTGTGAAGGTGAAAGATGACATGGTTGAGTACAAACCCAAGGAGAGGAGGTGTGAAAGGGCCAACTGTCATGCGATTTGCCCTGGCCTGTAGCGAGGAGTACGAGAAAGAATGTGTACAGATGATGGTGGAACCATAAGTGTGGGTAAGAAGAAGCAATGGATTTGACTTGAAAAGAGTACCCCCCAACGACCCTGGTGTTCATCTTGATCCTTCATTCGTATCTCCTTCACGCTCACTGGTCTTTTCGCAGGAAGGGGTGATGTCTGCCACCTACCCGGTCTTTGAGTTTGACAAAGATGAATGGAATCGCATCTCAAAATGCAAGCAACCCACTGTCCTGCTGCCTACGTAAATCCTTCCTACAGAATAACTTAGTCCGTCGTCCGGGCGGGCGTTTTCCGCGCGGCACAAACCAATTTCAAAAACATTCAACTTCTCGGCACAAAAGCTTGCGTCATGAAGATCTTTTAACTGAATGCCCTTTGATCAATGACTTTGCTGGTTACCCTGTGTGAACCAGAGACTCCATATCAACAACCCCTCTCTGAAAGACATTATATCTCTGGACCAGAGCCTCCGTGTTATATAACAAATCGCGTGTGAACAAGATTGTTTGGCTGTGGGTGAGACCTCACCTACAAACCATATTTCATCGGTGTAATATGTTCAATCGCGCCAGTGTGCGCAAGAATCCAGCTTTGAATAAGATTGCAGACCCTTATGTACCCGGACTAAATGGGTACGTTGCTGCCGTTTGATTATCTAGTAAGCTTATGTACAGCAAGTTTGGGACAGAGATACACTATGGCGTATCCTAGTGTCATGCATGAAGTGCGTGCATACATCTTGTCCTGTGCAGATATTGCAGTGTCGAAGTGCTGACATGCTAAGGTAGGGATTCCGTTTTGCGTTCTTGGTGTTTGGATTCGTCGCTCCCTTTGTTGCATTTCTGGTGGTTGAATATCCTTTTGTGTACAAACCCCCTCCTATTCCCGGTCTCAGACCAATGGGCAGTAAGGGATGTGACAGTGTCCGCAAGCACGGTACCCGCACAAACCATGGTGGGTAATTCGTTCCTTTTCTATCAGTTCAACCGGATTTTGACCCACACCATCCATCTCAATAAGACGCCTTGTTCGATTTGTTTTTGAAATTTCCCCACCTGTCAGTGTCAGGTGATGGTTGGCAGATTCTAGATGATTTTAGAAGAGGATCCCGCCTCCTCTCCTTCTCCTTTGTCTCCTCGGCTCAACTGCCAGCACCAGATTGCAGGGGCACTCCCGGACCTCAACAGCAAGCGCCAGATCACAGTGGGCACTCCTGGGTGGGGGTCACTCGAAGTAGAGTATTTTTCTGCTTGAGTCCACCACATGGGACGAAACGTTCTTTCATGAGGCTTCTATTCTTTCTGGGGCGCCATGGCTCTGGCAAGAGCACCGTACTTATTTCTTGTGAACTTACTCGGCCTTCACCCTTCTTGATGAAACGGGAAAGGGCCAACGGCCACATGCCTCAATAGACAAAAGGGCGGCTTGTGCCAGAAGAAGTGTTCAGTCACCCACCTGTCAGCTACATGAGTGTAAGCACTTGCGCACTCCAATGTCCAATTATTTCCAAGAAAGATCAAGAAAGCCCCTTCTCAGGTATGGTTGGCACAGCAGAAGATGGCATGGTGATTGAGTATGAGGAAATTAGCAGTTCAACAACCACCACCAAGGGTGGCGAAGGAGCTGTTCCCGAGGGCGGCTTCAAGCATCCTCATACGAAGCACCATGGCGAAAGTCAAAAGAAGAGTGAACCCATGACCGGAACGACCCGTTAACGTGGTGTAAAACTCCAATTCACAATGTTTGCAAAGTGTTTGCCGCGTGCTTTGCTGTTATATAGAGGCTGTGTTGTTAAATCCATTTGTATATATATATATATTATATATATAAACGTGGTTGTGAAGTGGATTGGCACGGTGAGTTCACTGCTCATTTTGCCAAGAGATCCAAAGGTTGCTTTGTCAAAATACCAAGTTTCAGGCTCACGACTACAACTGTTGCAATTACAGGGAACATAGTGGATGATACTGCGATCATATACATTAATCTCACGTATTGCATGATGCGTCCGAGGTGCAAAATCAAAAGTGTCACGGCACCACTAAAGCCTGAGAAAGGCGTCAAAGGCTAGGCCTGGGCGGCCGGCCGGGCCTTTGAGCCTTCAACCCAAAGACATGCCAAGTGAAGTATGTCACTTGGGCAGTTTCAAGATAAATCTCGCTGTGTCCTTTTCTTCAGGACAGTCAGTTCCTTTCATTTTAGACCGGTGAAACACGTGGAACAATGTTGCAGAATTGTCGAATAATAGTTCAGGATGCGAGTATTTATTGGTTTGCACGATTGACGAAAAGTCACTGAGTCCTTCATGAAGCTGTACAATCGTGTATGCCAACATGCTTTCTGACTCTGCTGACACCTAAAAAGACCGTGCGAAGATGCACATGCTGCTCATTGCTGCCCCTTTCCAGAGGAGACAGCCTGGGACAATGCGGAGACGCGACCACAGTGGATCCCAAAATCCACATATATGTCAAAAGCAGAATCCCATGTCGATGGATGTTGCCACTAAATTACTCATACACGACTTTCACTACTTTGACTTTGCCTGAAGCCAAAAGCTGTTCAGCGTTTCTTGGATCATGGTAGCCAAATGCTGCAGCAGTGAGGTCATTTTACGACGTGCATTTTTGCTGCCTCTTTTGGCACTGTGCCTGGCTTAGAGAAATTGTGCTGCGTTGCAATAGTGCTTGGATGCTCTAATTTTTCCGAGATGTTTAGATGTGCTCTTGAAGTTGACTGGAAAGGACAATCAATGTCACTCATACAACACTACGGATTCCTAGGGGACCAACCATGCATCACTGATCAAAGTACATCCCTCATAGTCTCTTGATCTCTCAAGTGTCCCTTGCTGCTGAGGGTTTACTGCCTTGGGCAAGGCGCCAGCCTTGGGTGAGACATGCTGTCAATTGGTGTGAAATGTCCACCCGAGTTGAAAAAGCAGATGTAGAGAGTCTATCTTGAATCAGCACAGTTCTTAGCTTAAAGGATGCTGTTGCACTGAGGTTTTAGTCTATTTCAATTTATTCAGTAGTTGAGGGAAGTCCTGAGGTCCTTCAAGAGAGTAACAAGGTGCCGCCCTCTCCAATAATGATCCCAGTACACAGTGGCTCGGCTTTCAGGTGCGTTCTTGGCGCCAGAAGCTTCTGCTGCAAGACATCAACCCTTAAAGCTTGTGAGTGTGCGAGTGTTTTTAAATGTGTTTTTTTTTGTGTAGTGTGCGTGTGTGTTTGTTTTTTTGTTTTTTGTAGGTGTGTGACTGTGTGTGTGTGTGTCACTCACGGCCAAATGGAGGGCGAGTGCCAAAGGAGCGATTTCATTGTTTGGAGTATTGATGAGTATATATTGGTTTGCGCTGTATTACAGGTAAATTGTCATATCTTTAAATAGCAGCTCTCTTTTTTTGAATCTTTAAACTTTACACAACCACCATTCTATTCAGGACTGCCAGTCGCAGCGGATCATTAAATCCCAGTCAACACGGCAACAGACGCTTGTGCGTAGTGCGAGAAGCACCAGGCAAGGTACGCATCGCGATACTCTTTGAAGAACCTTACTCTGGCTTTTTGCTCCACGGGCAAGGCCTGATCAGTACGGCCGCACTGCCCTGAAGGCCCGCAGCTGAATGAAGTCGGTAGAGAAAGTGTTGGGAACGAGTTTCCTCAGGAGATTGAGTATTGTCAACTTCCTGAACTCTTCTTTAAGTTATATTGTTTTATGATGTTTAGGCATTCAGGTTCACCGGGCAAATGAGCAGGTTCACCATGTACCACAGGGGGGCTTTGTTCCTTGAGGAGGCATGTTGATTGATCCAGAGGAAACATGACTCGCATGCCTTGTTTGGGTTCATTTCGGCTCTGATGGAAAGCTTGTAGCGTTCAGCTAAAGAGCCACTAGTTCTGATGCATGTCTTTTGGGCCGCGTCCGGCCGCGCGGTGGCCAGTCTTGATGCGGAGCAGGTGGATGGCAAGTCGGTCAAGTCGCTCAAGGCACAGTTGGCCCAATCGATCCTTCGCTTTGCCGAGTCCCATCTCCCCACATCGAACCCCACAGGCTCCGAGATCGGATTTCAATCTAACATCCTTTTTGGAAGCACAGCGAGTTGTCATCCACTGGATTTATTGCTGCAGGAAGAGGTGGGTAATGAAGTCCTCCACTTTGGGTTTGTTCTATTACCTGTAATACGTAGAAAACCATTATATTATAATATTATATATATATATGTGAATTTTGGAAGCCAGCAGGACCTTCGAATGAATCACCAAGACACCAGGAGAACCAATGCATATGAATATGCAATGATGGCCACATCGTGGCTCAAGGCTGGACACGAGCGGACTCGGAGGCAGGAGTGGAAAAGGTGCGAGGACGCCCTGGGGACTTTAGGATAGGATAGGTTGGTAGAGGTTAGAAGGTAGGTGCTACCTTTGTGATCTCCTGACGGAGTCACATTGGTAGCGGAGCCGAAAGTGGCCTCCTTAGGTAGGGGTAAGCCATGGCTAGTTCGAGTGATGAAAAGAATGGTGGGGTCTGGAATCTCCTACCATCGTTCGATCCAAGTGTTGACAATGCCCGTGAATATTTGGCGAAGGTCAAGTTCATTGATGGTATCTGTCCGAAGAAGGACCGTCCGATGTTGGCACCACGCTTAGCGATGCAGTGCAAGGGGACAGCTTGGCATCAGGTGAGAAGTCTATCACCTGAATTGCTGACAGATCAAACCAATGGGGTGAAGCATTTCTTAGCTGCTCTTCAAAGTTGGGAAGAAAGTGCAGAGTTGAGAACCTTCGAACTTTTTGAGCGTGCTATTTACAAGACAGTACAAAAAGCAGATGAATCGACGCAAAGCTATGTGAATAGGCTGAGGGTAGCCTTTGATGAAGTTGGACATGATACAACATTGAAGTCGGTTATTGCATTTGTGCTGTTGAAACAAAGCAGTTTATCCAATGAGGACAAGAAGAAAGTTTTGACCATGACAAGTGGGGTCCTGGAAACAACTGCTGTGGAAGGAGCGATGAGGTCTCTATCGACGAGCGTATTGAACACTGCAGGCACTACAGAAAAGAAGAAAATCTATCCAACAAACTATGTGGAGCCCGAGGAGATGGACAACTCCAAGGACTTGGGGACAAGTCAAGCCTTCTTCATGAACCAGGAGGAGGATGAAGAGCTCACACCAGAAATGTTGGAAAGCATGGTGGCGTGGGGAGACGCTGATGCACTTGCAGTTCAAACGTTTGAGAATTAGTTAGAGAGAGAGAGAGAGATTCATCTATGGGAGAGCGAGATGGTTCGGAGAAGCGACACACCTGCGCCATCTCTGACAGCCAGTCCACCAAGGTACCCATGATTGCTAGCTCTCCAAAGAAGCCCAGTCTCGCAGCTCCAGCTGGAGCAAGTGGTGTCCGTTCTCGTCCGGCAACAGCTCCAATGACAAGTGGTCCCATTCTGAGTGGTGACGGAGACCGAATTTCAGGCACCACATGGACGCGATTTGGCCTGGACTCAAGACGCCATCATGTCTTGGGGAAGGAAGGCCGTTACCTGGGGCAAGAAAAATGCTGGCCGCACATACTGCGACACCTACGAATCCGACGATCAGTACGTGGGGTGGTGTTTAAGCCGCTTGAACACCCTCAACATGCCCATACTCGACTTTGCCAAGTACGCCCAAGTGAGGCGTCAAATGGAAGCCCAGCTCCAGGAGGCTCTGTGATCCAGCTAGCCACACAGGTGTCTAATCAGAATGAAGTCCAATGGTTGAGAGCCTTAAGGAAAGAGATTGATCAGAGCTTTGCAGCACCCCGAATTGATTTGCTAGAAGTATACGCTCAACCAAATAGCAGATTAGCTGAAGAAGTCATTAAGCAAGGGGGAAAGCTGAAAGATTCACCAAAAAACATGGGGATTTGTCCATTTTCAAGGGTCAAATGGAGCTGCTGTATATGATCGTTCGCTTGCGACCGAAGCACATTTGGGTTGCTCCTGAGCGCGCACCATGGTGTTCGTGGAATAGGTTCAATGCCCAGAGGAGTTTGAACATGTATGCAAATATCCAATGGACGCAAGAGCAATCCAGAGAACATTTGAAGCTGCACACGTTCGTTTGCAAGATTCAGATAGAAGGTGGAAGGCATTTCACCATGGAGAATCCAGGAACATCAGGCATTTGGTCTCAACCAGAAGTACAAGAAATTATGAAACTCACGAGACAAGCAACGTTCGATCAGTCGATCAGTGTCAGTTTGGACTCCGAAACCCAAGCACAAAAGAACCCATGAAGAAAATGACTGAGCTTCAAACCACATCAAGAGAAATTCTCAGACAGACGCTTTTGTGACAAGACACATGATCATCATCAAATTGCAGGTTCATGTAAATTTCAGGGTAAAACCATTGCAGTGTCTCGATTTGCCGCATTCTATCCTCGCATTATGGCTAGAACCGCAGCTAAAAGCATCCTTGAAGAAAAGCAAGAGCCTGAATACCCAATCATGAATGCACAGACGGTCACAGAGTTGTTGTGTCCTGTTCGAGAAGCAGAAGATGACCCGACTGATGAACCTGGAGCCAAGAAACGACGAACTCAGGATTCAGAGGAAAATCCTAAGGGTCAGAAGCGAAGTCTAGATGAGTATGAGCCTTTCTCCATTTTGTCCGGACAATCATGGACTGATGTCATGGACAGATTGCAGAGCATTTTGCCGAAATCAGGGGCACAGGTGATCGATTTGACAACTTGGCCGGGAAGATTCCTATGCGATCACTGCCAGATCGAGAAGGTAGCAGAAATCAAGGCCATCAAAGGAGTTGAAAGGTATATGGTCGGCAATCCCGAACGCAATCTTCGACAAACCATCAGTCTTTGCAGAAAAACGAAACGAATTGTAGATCTAGGAGTAGAAGAATGGACGAAGTTGCCTCAGACTCAACAAAGAAGGAAAGCCATTCCCAGCCACATAATGATCAGCATTTTCGGCAGAAAGACTAATGACCTGGATGAATCTCAGCCAAAGTCCGAGTCGATCAAGCCTCCGAATATCTCCGGAACCCTGCCGAGTCAGCCCAGACAAGAAGAGCAAAGCTCTTCATCAATTCGACCTGCAGAAGTGAAGCCACCTGATGAACACTGTCCAAGTGATCCCAGTTTGACAGATGCCAAGTTAGCCCCTATTCCAACCTGGTCTCCTGCAGCAATCATCAATTCAGGTCCCAAGTTCTTGAGTTGAACAGCAAACAACAATGCATGATCCGAAAGATGCATAACAACCTTGGCCATCCAGTTGCAGATAGACTCAGTGATCATTTGCAGCGACTAGGATTCACATCAAGAATGGTTGAGGGAGCCAGAGATTATCATTGTCAATCATGCGCTGAACGAGTGCCTCCTAAACTCACGACACCTGGGAAACTAAAAGAACCAAGAGAGTTTAATGAAAGGATTGCTTTAGATGGATTTGAATGGAAAGGGGAAAAAGGGATTAAATTCTATGTCCTGCATTTCTTTGATGAAGCAACACATTTTCATCTTGGACGAAGGGGAAACAGAAACAGTGACAACTCCATCCAGAAGTTTGTAGAAACATGGATTCACTGGGCAGGACCACCTAGCGAAGTGCAGCATGATGAAGCAGGTGAGTTCGTCAGCCAAAATTGGAAAGACTTCTTGCAGAAAGAAGGCATTCGTGCAATTGTGAGCGCAGCCCCGTGGCAGAGAGGCAGAATTGAAAGGCATGGAGGTGTGATAAAGGAAATGCTTAGTCGAATTGACCAAGAGAAACCTATCCAAGATGAAAAGCAGTTTGATTTTGCGTTGAATCAATGCTTCCAAGCCAAGAACAGCCTAACTGTAGTAAATGGATACAGCAGGGAGCAAGCCGTGCTAGGTAGATCTCGACGTTTGCCAGCATCAATTTGCGGAGACGAGGATTCACAGCACATTCCATTGATCAACCACAAGACTCCAGGTCAGACAGCTTCCTTCAACAGATGGAAATCCGAACGTTAGCTAGGAAAGCATTGTTAGATGCTGACAATAGCCAAGCCATTCGTAGAGCCATAAACCACCAGTCAAGAGGACAGGAACACCCTTGGAGACGTGGGGAACTTTGTATGGTTTGGGATAAGCGCAAGTCACCAAACATGTTGGAAAAGGGTAGATGGACTGGGCCATGTCAAATAGTCATGGAAGAAAGTCGCACGATCGTGTGGGTCACATACATGAATCGCCTGCTCAGAGTCGCCAAAGAAAATATTCGACCAGTTTCAAGTAGAGAATTCAATCGAGTTGCAACCTTTCATCAATCATGCGATGAACAACGACTGAAAGAAATGGCAGAACAGCTGAAGACACAACTGAAAGAAAGAAGTGGGATGTTCCAATTTTCAGATCTTACAGAAGCTGAAAACCCACGACCAGAAGCTGAACAAGGTCCCCAACCCGAAGAAGAACCGCATCGTCGAGACTCCGAAGCAGGGGAGGAGTTAGGTGCGCCGGAAGTCTCTCAAGAAGAGAACTTGGGTGAAAATCATCCAAATAATACTGACATGCCTGAAGCCGAAGAAGCAGCAGAGTCCGCCGAACCAGGGATGCACATGTCGATGCACATG